GACGTCTCAAAGCACTTCACAGAATATACTGTAAAGTGAATTGACTGCATATTTTGTGGGGGAAATCCTTCACTAACTTCAAAGCGACTATCTTCGGGGGGTGGGGGATTGTAAGCAGAGTCTGTCTCCTTGGAGCTGAACTGGCTCCAGGGTGAGATGCTTGGCAACAGAATGCTGGAATCTGTGTCGGTATAATTTCTGAGCCAAGCATTTCTTTTTTACACGTCTGCAGTTCTCCAGGACGGAAAACAGACCAGCCAACCTGCTCGCTTGCAGAACTTGAAGACACTATCTTAAGATTACAGAGAAAGAAACTTGGAAAACTTGACAAAGAATTGTGACTCCCAAAGTAAGAGTGAGTTGAGTGAGAACCAAACCGAGAGTGCAAATTGACCCATTTCCATCTATCTGTGAATCACTCTAAAGCCTGATTTTCACCATACTTGTGTCAGAAGCTTAACGTTAGTTGAGCCACAAGACTACAGGAAATAAACAAACTTTACAGTGTTCTGCTGGCTTTAGTTATTGACCACAATTAGTGGTGTTTAGTGTGAAATGACATTCTCAGCATCACACTTTAGTGACTTTCCTTGGGGGTCAAGGTGGGGGTGGGAGGGGTGGAGGTTGGGTGTAAGCTAAGGTGACCATATTTTGTGAACATAGTGGAGTCCTGTAGTTTAGTGGGTAGACCACTCTCCTCGCAAGTGAGAGACCTGGGTTTGATTCCCGGCAGGGCGAAACGTTGGGCGAAACATTTGCTTACTCTGCACGCCTCTGTTTACCCAGCAGTAAGTAAGAACTCGGTTGTTAGTCGATTGGTGGATCGCTTTTCCGGGGATAATAATTCCTTCAAAAAAATAATAATAATAACTTGGTCACTCAAACTGGCGCAATTGGCTGCCGCGTTTTACCCACAAAATATACAGCCAATTCACTGTACCATATCTTCTGTGAAGCCCTTTAACACGTCTTGAAGACATGATAAGACGCTGTATCAAATGTAAGGATTATTATTATATTAAAAAAGTCAATATTCTGGTTATAATTAGTTACATTCAGCGAATATAGCCTCCCACTGGTAACCTCCCTTGAAAGTATGAGGGAAATGTCTGATTTGAGTAACTGGAAAGTCCTTGACAATACAGCATTGCCTATCCTATTCCTGCAAATCACATGGTTTCAAGAGTTCACTCTGTTGGATGCTCGCCCAGTTTTGTTACGTACTGTATTGCTTGCTGTTGTTTCTTGTAACCTTTCATGAACTTCAGTTAATGATAAAACAATGTTGACTACGTGCCATTGCATGCTCTATAATCGGGTATAAGACACAGGCTAAAGTTTAAAATATTAAATGGTCAGAGGTTATTATTTTGGTAAATAAAAATATTTTATGTTACAGAATAACATTTTTAAATAACTTACAAAGTCATAAGGTGACTTTACAGAATTTACGGAGTCATAAAGTGAGGGGGAGATGTCATAAAATGTGAAAGATCAAATGAGTGAGAAACTGAGAAGGTGGGATACAGAGATTGTGTGATGCAAAATATTTGTGATTGGTAAACCGTAGATTTACATCTGGAACTCGCCACCGAGCTTACGGTTACTTCCTCTCTCCCCACGCCTCGGAGTCAGGCTCTGCCACTGTTAAGGGTTGCAAGACACTGCCCCGAGTGAAGAGCGCTATATAAATACAAGTTGTTGTTGTTGTTGGACAACATCGCAAGATTGGCTCCGATGAAGGCAGCCCTCCAGCGCATTTGAATGCATCCTTCAGAATACGCTGCAGAATATCCTTCGGTGGAGTCCTGTAGCTCAGTGGTTAGAGTGCTCGCCTCGCAAGCAAGAGACCTGGGTTCGATTCCAAAGCAGAGCCAAACATTGGGCAAGTTTCCTTACTCCACACGCCTCTGTTTCCCTAGCAGTAACTGTTGTTAATCGATTGGCGGATCGCTTTTGCAGGGGTAATAATCCCTTCAAAAAAAAATAAGACATTTGTCACCAAATCACAACTGATTGCGGGACGCTGCTGTGCGCAATTGGCTGCCGCGTTTCACCCACAAAATATACAGTCAATTCACTTTACAGGATATTCTGCGAAGCGCTTTGAGGCGTCTCAAAGATGTGATAAGGCGCTGTATCAAATGCAAGGATTATTATTATTACCCACTAACCACCCTACCGCTCTCCCATCACAGTTTAAACTGTTGTTTTTTTTAATCAGGCCAGTGACCTTGGCTCAACCACCTTTCCTGGTAACGTTTTCCGTCATTAATTACTTTCTGGATAAAAAAATGTTTCCTAGGGTCAATTCTAAAATCGGCCTTTGTCCTGCTTCCTCTTGTTCTGCTATTTCTTGTGCATCCAAAATGATTGCTCTGGATTCATTTTATCAATCCCATTCAAAATAGCCTGTGGTGGTTGATCATTGAAAGGACATTGTATTCCAAACTGCTCAGGTGTAAATGCGCTGAAACATGAAATAGTCACGGACCAAATTATTTCATACCTCAAACTGAATGAGTCATTTGATTTCAATGACCAAATCCTTTGTCAAGGTGTAGGCAGAACTCCAAAATGGATTAACTGTTGAGGCACCAGACCAGAAGCAAAGTCAGATCAAGAGTGAAAGGAGATAAAGACTAATAAGAGCTTATTTTTTTTAAAAAAAGACTTACCCTAAAGGACAAGTATCGTTTTGCAAAGCAAAACTGTTTGTCGGTTGTGTTAATTCTTCTACTTACCACTTTTAAAATCTGTATATTGTACTCCATATATATTTCTAATATTCCGGTAGTGTTCAGAATGAAAACCTTATTTGTTTCACGAAAAAGGAATATCTGAGATTGTTGATATATTTCTGATCTTATTTTGTGGAGACTGAAGAGCAATCCTCCGTGTTTTGTTGTCAGACCTACTTAATCTGAGCTGCATCGTTTTTACTTACATAGTGTATAGGTTCTGTGCAGCAGAAATTGAGACCGATAGATTTTTAAAAACTAAAGCGTTTAAGGGATATGGGGATAGGGCAGATAAATGGAATTAGGTTAGAAGATCAGCCATGATCTTATTAAATGGTGGGGCAGCCTCAAGGGACCAAATGGCCTACTCCTGCTCCTATTTCTCATGTTCTTATGTTCTTAATTAAGGGTGACCAAAAAAAAAGCTACGGAGGACGTTTGATAGAGAAAAACAATTTTAAAAATATGCTATTTAGCTCCAGTAGTTTGTGCCAGTGTATCAGCACCATCCATCCTAACCACCCCTCTATTTCTTGATGCATTTGTTTCCTCTTAAATTCAGAATGTTCACAAAGTCCTCCGCCTCGACCTCTCCCTCGCCACCTTCAAGACCCACCTTATGATCCTCCTCTTCGACTGTGCTTACGATCTCCCTGCTTCCCCCCCTTGCCCTCCACCCTCCCGCACCCCAACCCTCAGCTCAGGTCCGTAACTCTGTCTGTCCAGCGCCTTGGGATGTCCTCCCAACATGAAAGGCGCTATACAAACGTAATTTTGTTGTTATTGTTGTACTTAATTGTGCTAGTGTTTAACTGTATTTAGATACCCAGAGAATTGGTGTGAGTGTGAGTGCCTACATTTTCATGGCAGACAATGATCCATTGCCATGTTAAGTACCGCATCTTCCGCATGGCTCCCACTAGAGATCCCTGAGCAGTATCTAAGGCAAAATGGTACAGTTTTTCTCACTGAAGTCGAACTGGAGTGTGCTGTGCGTTCTGGCCTGGGCCAAAGGAAGTTGCTGTGGTTTTCTGGGTTGAAGTTAATGTTCTGCTAGGCAGCACGGTGAACAGACACGTTGCAGCAAATTTCGCCCACAAATATGCAGTCAATTCGCTTTGCAGTCTACCGTGTGAAGCGCTCTGAGACGTCTAGAGGACGTGAAAAGCGCTATATTAAATGCAAGGATTATTATTATTATTACGGGTGCAGTGACGCTCTCTCGGGCGAGAAAGGAGTGAAGAGGAGGGTAGTGCAGGGAGCTCACCTCGAGAGGGAGCTATCATCCCTGCCCGTTTTCCAACAGATGAGGGCGCTAGAGGATACGGAAATCAGGAGATTGCACAGTGGGATGATTGAGTCGCTGCACATTATAGTTGAGTAAGGGTTGGTAGTGTGGAACCACTTCCATTTAGGAGGAACTCAGATAACTGTTTCCACCACGGTACACAATGCTTCCACAACACGGGGACATTGCTTTGTTCGAGGCTGATTTATTTGTGCATTTGTTCCACAAAACAAATAGCTGTGTTCACCACTCTCACGTAATTATTACCTGTTTACACTATTTTCTTATTAAGAGATCTTTCACATCTTAAACGTCCAATGACTAACCTAAGATGTGTTGTTTTACGGATGCTAGTACAAACATAATGTATAAACATTATAACTGGAGGGCGTCCAAATAGTTATCTGAGAGCAATCGCAATGGACATGACATTGCAATGGACACAGTGTCGCATTGGACATGATGTCTCTCCATCGTAACACGATATCATCGGTGGAGATGAAATGGCGACAAGCACTGATACATTCCCCCTCCCTCACCCCCCATCGTAAATTAGTTTTTTGTTGGGGATGAAGATATGTACCTGAAAATATGGGCATTAGTGTATACCTGCATATTTTCCAGAAACAGGTAATCAGGGTATCTCCCGAAGTGCTTATATTTGTTGTATATTATTGGCTCTCCAATCTCCAGCGAATTGAATTCAAGATATTTGTTCTTGCATTTAAGCCCCCCCATTGATCTCGTCTACCTACCTCCTTCAATCATACCAATCCATTCCCTTCACTCGCCAACACTGGCTGCTGTATTTGCCTACAAAATACGGTCACTACGTTCTCCAGTAAATCTTGCAGTGAGCTTTGAGATGTCTCAACAATATGATAAGGCACTGTATCAAATGGAAGGATTATTATATAGCCACATACAATGAAATCCGTCTGAATCTAACAAAGAATGCAAAGTATTCTGTGTAATCAAGCACATTCATTTATTGAAAAATTTTCTTCATCTGTGTACAAATTAATCATGAAAAATGTAGCAATCTTACTATTACACAAGGTTGATATCATATTGCCATGTGCTATAAATTACTCAATTGCATTGACAACATAATAGCTATTTCAGCTTCTACAGTGCAAAATTAGATAAAATGCATTTCGAATTTAGAAGTTATAAACATTTTCAACCACAAAGAATTATTGCTGACTACCTTTGGGAAATGTATACAATAAAACGCACTCTACTAAGACCAAAGAGAGTGTTGTCCTTTTTATATGGCAGAATGACTTTCCAGTAATGTGCTACCTATTAAATTGTGATAATCTTGTAATCAACTCACAAGTGTAATTATTCAGTGACAATATTCAAAACTGCATTTATATTAACTCTCCCAATAGCTCAGTAGGTAAATGTACTATTGGCAAAATTAAATACAATAACATTTCATCCTAAAGTCAAAGAACTGCTATTTATCCACAGAGCCCAAACAAAATCCAGCAATGTTTGTAATCACAAGGAATGATTGTCAACTTAATTGTAAATTGCATCCATGGCCTTCTGTTCCAAAACATTATTGATTTCCAAACAAAGTGAGTAATTGTCTTTGAATAAACTGACCCTGACTGAAAAACAAGTAAAATCATGACCAAACTCTTTCTCCGGGGGCCTTTTTTTAAAAAAAACACAACGGTTGATATAGCTTTATTAGTTCTTTATGATTATTATGAGAAGGCAACAAATTGTGATTGTCCTGTTGTACTGATTGTCCCTGAAATCCTCAGTTTCGTCCCTAGGTACGTGTTGACAGATCGGAATCTTAAATCTGCACAACTAACTGAAAAACAGTGATCGTCCAATTTTCACTGTTGCTGATCTGTGTCAATATTCTTCTGTAATGGCTGCGATATTGTCTTTTCCAAGTTTTTCAACTTGATTTGATAAGTTTTGCTTCTTGTAAATCCAAAATTTCAACCTGCAAGTACAATAAATGCATTACAGTATTAAATTTGCTGGGCCCGGCGGAAACAGTGGAGCTGAGACAGGACAGGGTTAACAGGATCCCAGACCTAACGCAGGAAAGGACATGAGCTGTAGAAAATGTTTTTTCACATTGAAGGTGGTAAAGATGTAGAATTCTCTGCCCCAAAAAGCTGTAGAGGTGATATTTTTAATGATCTCGAAAAGAGAAATAGACGGAACATGTAGTGTTGTAGTGGTTTAAAGGAGTATAGTGCAAGGATCAGGTATTGGGATTAAAATATCTATCAATAAATAAATAATAAACTGGTGTAACAGGCACAAGTGGCTGAATGGCCTCCTCGTGTTCTTGTTTTCCTATAACTGGTTGACCAAAATCCTGAGGAACTGAACAAGTCACTTTTGAGCAAAAAGAACAAGGAAACAAAAACAACAACAAGATTGCATTTATAGAGCGCCTTTCACGTCGGGAGGACGTCCCAAGGCGCTGGACAGTTGGGTCGGGACCCGAGCGGGGGGGGAGATGGTCAGGGTGAGGGGAGGGAAGGGAGGGGGCGAGGAGGAGGTAGAGAGTCGAGAGGAGAGCTGAAGGCACGGTTGAAGAGAAAGGTCTTGAGACCGGCCTTGAAGGAGGAAAGGGAGGAAGTGGCGAAGGCACTGGGGGATGGAGTTCCAGAGCCTGGGGGCTGAGAGGCTGAAGGCCCGGCCACCGATGGTAGGGCGGTTGGGGCGGGGGATGTGGAGCAGACCGGAGCCAGAGGAACGGAGGGTACGGGCAGGTAAGTAGGGGGATAGTAGGTCGGAGAGGTAGGAGGGAGCGAGGCCGTGAATGGCCTTGTAGGTGAGGATGAGGATCTTGAATTCAATCCTCTGGGGGATGGGGAGCCAGTGGAGGTGAGCGAGGGTGGGAGTGATGTCGTCGCGGTGTCTGGTGCGGGACAGTACACGAGCTGCAGAGTTCTGAATGACCTGCAGTGTGGAGGGAAGGCCGGCGAGGAGAGAGTTCCCATAGTCCAGCCTTGAGGTGATGAAGGCGTGGACCAGTATTTCAGCAGCGTGAGGGGTGAGGTAGTGCCGTAGTTTGGCGATGTTTCGGAGGTGATGGAAGGCGGTGCCAGTTGTGGTGCGGATGTGAGGGAGAAAGGACAGCTCAGGGTCGAACAGAACCCCGAGGTTCCTGATGGCTTTGAGAGGTGGAGAGTGCGGCCTTGGATGCTGATGGTGTCAGCGCCTGAGGTGCGGAGGCGCTGACGCGAGCCAATCAGGAGGGCCTCAGTTTTGCGCACGTTGAGCTGAAGAAAGTTGTCTCTCGTCCAAATAAAGAATAAAGGAGAAGAATAAAAAATAAAATAAAAAGAATTAAAAAAAAAAAGGAGAAGGACTAATTCAAGAATAGCATATGTACTTACCCTTTGATATGCTGCATGTCCTCAATTGTGTCTGGAAGCGGAACATTTAATGTTTCAGGCAGAAATAATGTCAGAATTCCTGCCAATATTCCCAAACTGCCCATCACGTTAAAAGGCAGAAACTCATCAAAAGCACCTGTCAAATATAAAATGAACATTGCCTCTGAAGAAAATATTAGGACATGCACATAAATCCAGAATAAAAGCTGTTCATCACTGAACGTACTTTCATTCTGATAGTGTTTTCCACTTGCCAATTCATTTCTGTCCATGTTTAGGATTTCTGAACCATGCACCGTTTCTCAGTCAGGAGTGGAGAACGCTATAATAGTGGAAAATAAAACTAACGAAAATAAAACTCAGCCCCTCATATCACCTAGGTATTATCCTACCTGGAATATAATAATCTTTACATTTGATATAGCGTCTTATAAACCCCTGCTCTCCATCCTCCCCGATCCCGACCCTCAGCTCAGATACGAAAGACTGATTGTCCAGCGCCTTGGGATGTCTACCTGACGTGAAAGGCGCTACAGTCACCTCCCAATTCCCTCTCCCCTTTGCTCAGAATCCATCCCTGCCACTGTAAAGCACTCTACACGAAAGGTGCTTTCTAAATGCAAGTTGTTGGTGATGCTAGGCAATGAGCCAAGGAAAGTAAGCAACTTGAAAGTAGGAAAATATTTAGGCTCCAGTGCCAATGTTCACTCTCAAAACAAACCTGAAAACAATCATGATCTAAAAGACACAAATACAATCACTGACTACTTGAAGAGGAAGGTTGGGTTTGATATAAGTTTGCAAATGTCCTTGCATGATAACCACAGCTTTAGAATGTTTAGTTTAATCTGTTTTCTTACCAAGGTAAACAAAGTAAGGGGCAAGGATACTGGTTGCTCTGGCAGCCATTGAGCTTGTTCCGACGCCTGTGTTTCTCAGTACAGTCGGGTAGAATTCAGAACTATAGACAAAAACCATGTTGAAGGCACATGCGAAACAGAATTTGCCAATCATCACCATCACTGTGACGAGTATTGAAAGTTCTGGAAAAGAAAGTTGAAACATGCATTGATGCACAAGTAATAATAATAATAATCCTTGCATTTGATATAACGCTTTTCACGTCTTCTGGACACCTTAAAGCGCATCACAGAATATACTGTAAAGTGAATTGACTGTATATTTGTGGGCAAAATACGGCAGCCAATTGCACACACCGGTATCCCAAGTACACTTCTATATATAATCCACTAATATAATATATAATCAATACAATCCATTTATATAGTCCATTGACCATTTAATGCTTGTGTCAGACATGCTAAGGCACCTCTAATGACTAAATCTAACATAACTGGTCAACCATTTGGTCTGCTGAGAAAATGGAATGTCATTTTAAAGAAAATATGTAATCAAGAATGTCTGATGTGGGAAGGTAAGTGAAATGGATAATCCGGCAGAAGGAAGTGACGTTGCAAACCTTCCTGGGCTCTCCAAGAAAACAGCACGCTTCAAACTCATGCAGGATATCAGTGCGCTGATCCTTCAATGTTTTCAAAGTGCATATAAAAGATATTCCTTGCAAATGCAACCGTACAAATTGTAAACAAAGCAAGCAATTACTAAATCTAGAAAGATGGCAAAATTACTTGAAGGTATCAGCTGGATGAAGAGAAGAATAATTCCACCCAACAGAAGTATGGCTGCAATAGTGAAACTGCGCGGTAACTTCCAGAGAAACAGCCAAATCGCGACTGTGGCGGGAATCTCTATGGCAGCAGAAATGAAACAGTTCAGATAAACATCACCATGCAGATTGGGTGTATTCAAAGACAGCCCAAAGTATCCGAGTGCTATGATCATCCTGAAACGAGATGGCAAAATCGCATTAAGACTTTTAAAAAATGTCATCTTTTGCAGCACCGGCAATATTTGCTTTTTTTAATATAGATTCTCTCTTTTTCGGGTTCTCTGTGTCATCCACAATGCCCTCCCCAAGAAAGAAAGGTAGGTGGGTCGAAAGTGTGTTGCCAGTTTTTTTTAAACCTTACCATCCCACTGGGATGTGCCCTCTCAGCAACTACACTTCCAAATTTTGTATTTCTCAAACTGGAAAAACAATCAGTCTCATTAGGAACAGGAGTGGGGCCATTCAGCCTATTAAGTTGTTTAGAAAATGTACGTTACAGTTTTCATCTCCCTCGATAGTTTATTGGGCACCTGCTCTTAGCGCTTTGGATTAATCACGGTTATTTGAAATACGCTCCCTCCCATCGTTTGGCTCAGAAACTAAGTGGCACCTTTTCTAATCATTTGATAGTGAGGATGCATCCTCAGGTGAACACCTGTGCTTGGGGTATACATTCAACAAGGTCAAGGGCACCATAATAATAATAATAATCCTTGCATTTGATATAGCGCTTTTCACGTCAGGAGGACGTCCCAAAGCCCTTCACAGAATATACTGTAAAGTGAATTGACTGTATATTTGTGGGCGAACGCAGCAGCCAATTGCGCACAGCAATGTCCCACAAACAGTCATATGGATTGAAAATGACCAATTTATTATTGTTTATTTGATTATTTCACAATCCGGCAGGTCACCTATAATGTCTGCTTGAGAATGATGTACAAGAACCAGAGAATAGTCGAAAAACATTTTTTTTTCACAAATAGGGGCATTGATCTCTGATTTATTTGATCAACACGGTCAAGCATTGATCTACAGCTGAAATACTCACCACAGGATAAGGTTGATCAAAGTGATGTATCGAATCTTACGGCTTTTTATGAGATGAATAACCGTGTATGATTTCACATTTTTAGCCTTCATTTCTTCCAGCTAGTAAGGAAACAGAGAGTATGATTACAGTGGGCCTGGAATTCCTTCCTAACAATTGTAACCACTCATGAAATTTCGAGAGGAAATGAGACAAAACCCCATTTTAAAACTCTAGCAAAATTCTGTAGGTTTTTTTTAATCAATGGGTGGGTTTCAGAGCAGCATTCATTTCCTGTGTTTTTTTTTGTCATTTTAGGGTGACTTTAACACCAATTTTTGAATTATTCTTATTTCGTGGCATAAACAGCCTCAAGAGTATGATCAAAGAAACCAACATGGCAGATTGGACAGCTGGGAAGAGGTAACTCAGAGAACAGGAGAAAAGTATTTTTAAAATAGGGGCAAACTCTTAAATAGTACTCTTAAAATATTTTACAACGTTCAATAAAATGGTCTTTTTTTTCCTTGTTATTTATGGCTGACTTACACCAAATGGGACAGACCTTGACAAGTTGGAGATTTAGGTGTGTTTTCTGATGCATTGCTCACCAGGTCAATACACTAAGAGGCAGCAATAAACAGGGCGCTGGGATGTTTTGCTAAATCGGTTCAATTCAGATTCCCAGGTGTCACGCTCAAGTTCAGTGAAGGACTGCCGAGGAGAGCAACAAAGAAGATCCCAAGTTTTAGATAAATTAGTTATGAATGACAAATAAATAAGTTAGGGCCATTCAGCCTTGAAACGAGATGTTAAGGAGGAGGTCCCTCGGTTGTCGAGACCCTCATCCATGAAGTTTTCATGTGCTCTGCTCTGCTCACCAGACTACCCAGATGCGTTATCCTTCACATAAACTCGTGCAATAAACAGGAGACTTCATTCTATCAGTCTCGACTACTGTTAAACCAATAACTGACAGATAAATTATGTGTTAATCCACTGCAGCTTCATATCCCCACAATCTTAAAACTAATTTAAATTGGAGTAAAATAATTTTACCTGTAGCATTTTTAACAGCAATTAGACAGGTTTACAAAATACATAAAGCATCGGATTGGATAGCAAATAATGGCACACTGTAAGAAATAATAATAATAATAATAATAATCCTTGCATTTGGTATAGCGCCTTATCACGTCTTCGAGACATCTCAAAGTGCTTCACAGAATGGACTGTCAAATGAATTGACTGTGTTTTTTGTGGGTGAAAGGCAGTAGCCAATTGCACACAGCAAGCACACAAAAAAAGCAGGAAAGTGGTCCTGTACCTCAACTTCACTGAAGAGCACCGTTGGGGAGGTGACACCATTTTTCTTTGCAATTAATCGGATGATTGCTTCAGCCTCCTGTGCTCTTCCCTTGGACAGCAACCAACGTGGAGATTCAGGAATAAACCTAATTTACAATTTTTTTGAAAAAAAATTTGAATGAACTAAACTAACTCAAAATACACAACACATAATAATGCAAGATATTAACACGCAATTATAGTCATACTTAAAGGCAGATACACAAAGAGTGTGAAAGATGAGTTGCGAAACATTAAGTTTAAGATGGGTACTGACTGGGTGACAAATAATAATAATCCTTGCATTTAATGCAGAGCCTGATCAGAGCTCTTTGTAATGGGATTGAAGAAGTTTTTGTTTTTGCGTTCTTTTCTTTTTCCTGTCACGCGTGTGCTTTTTCATGAAGAAAGTTGAATATATTTTACAAAAACAGTACTGATCAATAGATTTGTTTTAAAAAAAGGAGGCAGCAACCGACAAGGGTAAACCAACAGGGGGCGCCAGAACAACAGGAGCGGGAGGAGAAACTCCAGCGGTGGAAGAGATAATAATAATAATAATAAATTGCATTTGATACAGCGCCTTATCACGTCTTCGAGACGTCTCAATCTGCTTCATAGAACATACTGTAAAGTGAATTGACTGTATATTTTGTGGGCGAAACGCAGCAGCCAATTGCACAGAGCAGCGTCCCCACAAACAGCCGTGGATTGAGTGAACATATTCTTCTTATTTTTTTGAAGGAATTATTACCCCCGGAAAAGCGATCCGCCAATCGATTAACAACTGGGTTCCTACTTACTGCTGGGTAAACAGAGGAGTGGGGAGTAAGGAAACTTGCCCAACATTTCGCCCTTGCCGGGAATCGAACCCAGGCAACGCTTGCCAGGCGAGTGCTCTAACCATTGAGCTACAGGGCACCAATGGTGAGGAAGGCGAGGCCAGGGACTCCCCCACCCCCGACACCTCCTCGGAAGAAGAGGAAGAGTCTGACTCTGCTCCCAGCGAGCAGGAAGACAGTGAGGGGAGCACTGACGTCTCCCTTCCTCAACAACAACCTGGGAAAGAAGGACAGTGGCAGGTGGCCGGCAAGAGGGCATGGAACACCAGGAAGAAGACGAAGGTAAAAGCCCTGAGAAGAGAAATGGAGCCGGAGCCAAAAAAAGAGGAACATGACCCAAGGCGGTGGCAGACACTATTCGGAAAAGAATTTCTCCCAGTGTCCTGACCAACAATCCCCCAAATAAAATTGGTCATTCACTGCATGGCTGTTTCTGGGACATTGCGGGGTGCAACTGGCTGCCACATTTTGCTCAGAAATTCACAGTCAACCCACTTTACAGTGTGTCCTGTGAAGTGATTTGAGACGTCGCAACAACAGGCACTGTATCAAATGCAAGGATTTTTGTTATTATTATTATTAGCTCATTCAGGAGGGCAGAACTTTCACCCAAGGTACTGAGATTCAAGTCATATCCGAAGAAGAAAGAGCTGACGTCAACGATACAAGAACACAGTTGCAAGAAACGTAAGGCCCACTAACATCAGCACTTTCAAGCCGAGAGCCTAATAGCATATTATCTTATTGCCAATCGCCTAATGTAAAGCTGATTATAGAATTCACGTGAAACAAAATATCTTTTTGGTTTTAAGTAAATAAATGTCTTAAAGGTGCCGTGAAGGGCGCTATACAAGTGTAATTTGTTGCTATTGTCGTAAATGAGCTAATATGCGCCAAGATAACTAAAAGAAACGAACTCTAGTTTCTTTGAAATAGTAACAGCTTGAATCGAATTCTAACTTACCACCACAAACTAAGAAATATCGCTCCAGGGACACTTAAGACCAAAAGCAATATTCGCCATCCTCGTAGAAAGAATGCAAAAAGAGGTAACAGCATATAGCCAATTGCATAAGCACTGCAAATTCCCAGTGTAGAGTAAATAATCCGAGTGGATTTCCCAAGTAGTTCTGATCCTGTAGGAAAAGAATAACTGAATCAGGAAAAACTGTGGTTACAAGATTTATTTTAATTTGACTTCACTGATGAATATGAATATACACAGACGAATATTTCTTTCTGTTAATAAATACTTCCTCCCACAGAATCACATAATAATAATAATCCTTCCATTTGACATAGTGCCTTGTCAAGAATTCGAAACGTCTCAAAACCCTTCACAGAATATACTGTAAAGTGAATTGACTGTATATTTTGTGGGCGAAACGTGGCGGCCAATTGCGCACAAACATGATACTAGATGCGATAGAACTTGGCAAGATGAATATGAAAGAAATCTAAGACTTAATAGATTCATCACTACATTGCTCACCATGTCAAAACAATGCGAGGCAGCAATAAACAAGTCAAACAGGATGCTTAACTCTAGTGTCGAATTCAGATCTCTAGAAGTCATACTTAAGCTATATTGTGGTTTGGTCAGGCCTCATGTGGAATACTGCTTAAATTTTCTGGTTGCTGAGGCATAAGGGGCTTCCTCAGAGGCATTGCAGAGAAAAATATTATTATTATTATATTATTATAATCCCCAGTGTCACAGAAATGAGCTATTGGATAATCAGACAAGCTACAGATCTTCAGTCTTGAGAGGAGACTTCCCAGAGGGAATCGTAGAGAGATATACAACAATTTAAATGGCATTGTAAACGTAAGCCCAGAGCAATACTTCTGAATACGCCAAGACAGCAGAAAAAGCGTTGAGAGTAGCTTTCTGAGGATGAAACATTCAACCGCGGGCCCTTTTACTCCCCTGGCACTATTCAAAAACTCCCCATGTTCTTACCAACAATCCCCAATAAAAAAATGGACTTTCACTTCATGGCTGTTTGTGTACCATAGACATATAAAAATTGACTGCTTTTTGTTCACCCCAAAATGTGGCAGAAGTGAAGAAAACCAAGGTTGTACACTGGTTTAGTGAGTTTACTGAGCTTTACAATATAAGAGTTGACAATCCACTTTACAACATATTCTGTGAAGGGCTTTGAGCCATCTCAATAAAGTGATAAGGTGCTATATCGAATGCAAGGATTATTATTATTATTTATTAAATATTTGAAAGAGAGACTACGGAGGTTGAGGAGGTCAGAGCCAAAAGTGAGGAGACTTTGCCAGAATCCGGGAAAGAGGACTTCCATCTTCTGCATGTTAAGCTGCAAATAATTGAGGATCATCCAAGCCTTAATGACTGACAGGCAAGCAAACAAAATGTGAGTGAATCTGGAATCATGAGTAGAAGTGGAAAGATAGTTTTAAATGTTATCAGCATTTTAGCTTTGTGTCTGCAGATGCAGTGACCAAGACAGCAGATAGATAAGGAAGAGGAGGGGTCCTGCGATAGAGCCCTATGAAGCCGTATTGTGGTGATGTTTTCTAATCTTGAAAGGTCAGTGAATTGTGCTTACTTTCTTTCCTCTGATGAGATTAGACCGGGAAAAGTGAAAGCAATGGATTATTTCTACGCAATATATTTTGCATTGAGAACATGAGACAGGGCAAATTCCTAAGTCCAGAACACCAGCAAAGTAAAAAGGAGATAAGATCTTAACACTAACGATAAAAAGTAACAGAGAAAAAATAATAGAATGAAAAAGTGATCGCAATACAAGCGTGCTTTAAGCATCGATTCACGAGCAGGGCGAAACATTATTTCCTTACTCCACATGTCTCGGCTTACCTAGCAGTAAATAGCAAACCGTTTTTCCGGGGGTAATGATCCCTTCAAGTAAATAAATAAACAGACAGACAGACAGACAGACAGGTCATTCAATCCACGACTGTTTGTGGGACACTGCTGTGTGCGATTGGATGTCGTGTTTTGCCCACAAAATACACAGTCAATCCACTTCATAATATATTCTGTGAAGGGCTTTGAGACATCTCAACAAAGTGATAAGGCGCTATATCAAATGCAAGGATTATTATTATTATGTGTAAAATATTGTATTTTTATTTCTGCTTACAATAAATGTTTTAGCTGTTCAGGATTCATATTGTAATAATATTAGTTAGTCCATCTATAATGCTTGTGTTTATTTCAGCATTACTTCATTATTACAACATTACCACTCTAGTGACAGAGCTATGTTTGGTCTGTACATGATAGTCACCAACTAGTGACTATCCTCTTTAGATGTGAGATGTATAGGGTCTCCTTGAAGCTGAACTGGCAACAGAAGCTCAGACCGAGCCAGTCCTCTGTGGCAATCTTAGTAATCCATTTTCTGAGCCAGGTGAGTCTACAGTAAGGGAGGACACTGCTGATGACAACACAAGTCATTGGGACAGGGACTCTTTCCAATCAGATCCCACTAACTCTGCAAGTCAAAGCCCTTACGGATCAGCAGGGGCAAAGCTTTCAATGGTAAGCTATGCTGCTTTAGCTGGTTAGTTCCCCAACACAAACTATGGGATCCCCAAGCCTTGATTCTTGACAACCTGTGTCTAATAAAATCTGGAGTTCGGTAAACAGAATGTGTCCCTTCAGGGAGAGAAGGCGCATTCCATTCCAATAGGTATCTCTGGAATTTCTATGTATAGGTGAGATACAGAGAACTCTTGGTTTGGTTTGGATTCTCTAAAACATGGTGATGGTTTCCCGCATGTGTCAAGACACCCGGAAGACCAAAGAAAGACATAACTCACCCGGTAAAAAGATTTTAATGTTGTTGATACTTACCAAGAACAAATGTAGTCAAATAGTTTGCCGAGTGTCCAGCACCCCCAAGGAAATTAAACAAACTGAAAACTTCCCAGTTTGGAGAGAAACTTAGAATTATGTTGAATACAATTTGTATGACCATGCTTCCAAATAGAACTATCTTCCTTCCAAATCTGCAATGAGCAACAAAGTTTTACAAGCAGTCACATGCTGACATGTGCACAAACACACTCATGTTTATTGCCATATAGGCTCATACAGTTATGATAATGCAGACACCGACTCAGGCAATCATTTTACACACTGTGCACAATTTTGTTTGACAAAAAACTAGCAATCGGGGAAGGGTTCATTGTACACTTCAGTGATTCGTTATGATATGAATGAAGATTTCCTACAATCTTAGTATGATTTCTGAAGGAAGTTGATGAAGATAGAGTGGAATCATTAACAAAGGTGTAGATAAGATTGGCTAAAGAATAGTGGAGTTAATTGATGTTTGTCACGATCACCTTGTTTTAATTAATGCTCTACCTCCTTGTAATGGTATTTTCTGTCGATAGTATATGTATGTAGAGTTTGTGTAGAATAAGACACTTTTACTTTAAGCGTAATTATGTGATTGCATAAAAGCAATCCGCCAATCGACTAACAACCGTGTTCCTACTTACAGCTGGGTAAATAGAGGTGTATGGAGTAAGGAAACTCGCTCAATGTTTCACCCTGTCTGGGAATCAAACCCAATACTTCTCGCTTGCGAGGCGAGTACTCTAACCTATACACTACAGTACTCCACTAGGAGGAAACAATATTGAATGCCAAGACCTGAACATATGACTGCCATGATATGGACAGAATTTGATGTCATTCTAAGTTGTATTAAAACTGAAGCAATGGACTGAAGTTCTTGGCAAAAGTGAGCCAAAGAGAGCAGTCAGCTCTTTGAAAGAGCCGGTACTGAACCATCAGAACAAAAGAATAGTGGAAAAAGGATTCACAGAAGATTTGAATAAGAGGGTCAGAATTATAGAAATTTACAGCATAAAAGTATGCCATTCAAGCCATTGAGTCTGAATCGGTTCTCAGAGCAAGCAGTGCTTTCAATCACATTGCCCGATTATATCTCCTCACCCCTTCAGGCCTCTAATTTTCATATACCTGTCTACTGGGAAAGGGCAAGTAACTAGGTTGAAAATGATTGCTCTTAAAAGACCCAGCACAGACACATTGGGCCGAAAGGCTTCAGTGCTGCAAAATGCTATGGTTTCCAAGTCAAGGTCATCAATGTATGTGAAAAAAAGGAACAGACTCTTGCAGTACACTACTTTCATCATCATTACTTTCTGAAAACAAACTACTTCATATTGTAACGGACACTGAGAAGCAGCTATTGCTCACCAGGTTAAAAGGGGTGACCTGGTTTGGGATATGATATGTCAAGCAACTGCAAGGATGTTGGAAGACGAACTAGATGGACCTTGGTCTTCTTTTGCCTAGCAAATTCTTATGTTCTTATAAGCCCCAGAGGTCTGTCTCTCTCTCAAGGAGCTGCAGGACAAAATGCCCAGGGTTTCCAGGAAGGCCAAGGAACAAAGAGGCCCAAGGACGGCCCAAATGGCTGTCCTACGATTTGGGAGCATCCAGAACAGGGGGAGTGTGAGGCCATATACATATAAGAGGGATTGCAATTCAGCCCCTAAACATAGGTGCATGCAACCCTCCATGATTCTATGTTGTAAGCGATGTAGCATGTGGCTTATTGAATTTAGTCTTAACCTTAATGTGTTCCACCCCCACCTCCGTGATAATGAATCTGTGTTGCTTGAACTGTGTTATAATATGTTTTGAAATACTGATATTAAATGCCCAGTGAAAGTTGCATTTATGTATTCTTGAGAAATTATTTTCTCTCCCTTTTAATATGACACGTGAATAGAAACAGATTACAAGTGGTTAACTTGTGATTACAATAAATGAACAGAAGTCACTAACCGAATAACTCACCTGTCTGACGCCTGTCCACACAATAAGGAACCAACCAGCATTCCTAAAAAGAACATTGATGAAGAAAAGGGGCCTTGCCAGTCATCATCACACACCAAGTCCCACTGAAAAGCAAATCCCACACGTCATTTACCACGAGGCCAGTTGGAAAGTAGATGATTATTTTCAACAATAGTTTGGTCACACATATATGAGCAGCTGCTAACCCTTTGTAAAGAAGTTATTTAGGAATCGTTATAAAACATTCGTTAAGCTGCAGTCGGAAGACTGTGTGTAATTTTGCATTTTGCAAAGATATCAGAGCAATGGAGCGGATGCATGGAAGTTCACAAGGATAATATCACGGCTGAAATTATAGAACTATAAAGAGAGGCTGGAGATGTTAGAGCAGAGAAGGTTGAGGGGTGATATGATAAAGTTGTGTAGGGTAATGAAAGGGTTTAGACAATAATCATGAAAAATATTTCAGCTGGTAGGGATTCAAGGAAAAGAGGGCATAAATGTAACACTCCTTAGCTAGGAAGTAAAAGGAGAAAAGTTGAAACCTTTACAAGTTCTGAATGAAAAGTGTTGGTCATTTTGTTTGAGAGGTGTCACACAATATAGCATTAGAAGTAAACTAATAGATGCACAGAGAAAGATAGGAAAGGAAATGTAGACATCACTTTATGAATTATTTTGACACTGCCAGCAACTAACCCTGGGGTCAAACCCTCATTTTCAAAACTGGCGCTAAACAAACATCGACTCAGGTAAATTATGGATCAGCCAAGATTGAATAATTTGACACTAATGTCATTTTAGTGTGACTTACTTCGCCAGTTGGATTTCAATTACATCAATGAAGATGTTTCGCCCATGAAGAGTGGGAAGAAACTGATTTAACAGCTGTGCTAATGTAAAGCCCTTGTTTCATTTTAGTTTTCACATCACTAAGTGCATTAATGCTACCAGTTTGTGTTGAAATGAATGTGGTTTTATTCGTTCTAATGACAAGGTAGCTGTACATTCATTTCCTATATCTAGATGAACCTTCAGTGGAATTATTATTGCAGTTTACAGCTGGGTCATTACCTACTATAGGTAAATAATTATATAAACCTTGAGCTGGTAATAGTGCTAAGAACATTAATAACATGAAGGTCAAGAATGCAATGAGTTAGAAATCGCTTGATCAAATATTTATCACTTCTGCTCACGAATACATTGAACTAAGCAACCTGAGTTTATTCTTGTGTTTAACTATTGCAAGAACCTTCTTTTTGCTTTTCATTGACAAACTGGATTTTCTGAAAAGTGGAAAACTGCTTTTAGTATTTCCACCATTTCCTTATATGCTGGGAACTTCTCTCCTTCATGGTCCCAATCCCTACTTTAACCATTCTTTTAATAATAGTAATAATCCTTGCATTTAATATAGTGTCTTATCATGTCTTTGAGATGTCTCAAAGCGCTTAACAGAATATACTGTAAATTGAATTGACTAGGTATTTTGTGGGTGAAACACAGCAGCCAATTGCACACCGGAGTGTCCCACAAACAGTTGTGGATTGAGTGACCAAGTTTTTTTTAAATTAAGGAATTATTACCCCCGGAAAAGCAATCCGCCAATCGACTAACAACAACAACAAAATTACATTTGTATATAGCTTTTCACATTGGGAGGACGTCCCAAGGCGCTGGGCAACCAGTGTTTTGGAACCGAGATGAGGGTTAGGATTGGGGAGGGTGGAGGGTACGGGTGGGAAGGAGGGTTATTGAAGGCACGGTCGAAGAGGAGGGTCTTGAGACTGGTCTTGAAGGAGGCAAGGGAGGGGGTGAGGTGGAGGGACTGTGGGATGGAGTTCCAGAGGTTGGGGGCAGAGTAGCTGAAGGTTATTTTCACCCGTATTCCACATTTGCATTCCAGATTAGAGCCAGATATTCTTATGGAGTTCATACAGCAGGGCGAAATGTTGGACAAGTTTCTTTACTCCACATATCTCTACCTAGCAGTAAGTAGAAACCCGGTTGTTAGTCGATTGGTGAATTGCTTTTCTAGGCGTAATAATTCCTTCAAAAAAAATAATAATAAATTGGTCACTTCAATCCACGACTGTTTGTGGGACACTGCTGGGACAATTGGCTGCCTCGTTTCGCCCACAAAGTACACAGCTTATTGTAAAATACAGTTTACAGTATATTCTGTGAAGCGCTTTGATACGTCTCGAAGATGTGATAAGACGTTATTAAATGCAAGGTTATAAGGATTATTATAGCATTCCTCCACATTCCTCATGCAATGAATTGTAATTTTATGCATACCATTAGGAGAGCAGCTGATTCTTCTGTGAAGCAAAATAATGGGGGAGGGGGAGAACTTCTGTCAATTTGCTCTACGTCGTTCTTGTGCATTTCCTGCGATCTGATTCTACAGTGATACAGGCGGAGAGCAATTGTGAGTAGTTGCCCATGTGCCTACTCTTGGCTAAGAAACAATGTGTGGCACAAAGTTGGTATTGTATTCTAATCACATCTCTTCCCTTCAAGGCATTACAAATGTTAGGATTAAAACGTAAATATCCTTTGTGTCGGAAATAATAGCGTTATTGTCTGTGTGCGGCAGCTGACTATTTCTTTGCTCATTAAACCCTTTATTTAATCCCCATAACCCAATCTAGAATCCTGAAGTCGTGCCAGCAACATTCTTTGCATGAAGTTACACCAAGGTGGACTAGAATAACAATTCTTAATTCAATTCAATGAGAATTAAACGATAATGTGGACAAGCTCATTGCCATCATCTCAATGTCTCTTCCTCTGGGGGGTGGGGGGGAGAGAGGAATAACAGAGATAACAGTAACCTAAAGATAAGGAAAATAAGGGATAAGAGCAAAGGCCAGAGTACAAAGTGTGGTAAAGATAATATAAATAATCTGGGAAGACAAAAGGTTATAAGAAGTTATCACAAAAAGTGTGTGAAAAACACGGTCAAGGCATAAGATCAGGGTGAGGACTAGGTACCTGAGTAAGAGTTCTGTAGATAAATGCATGTAGCATAAGAAATAAAATAAATGAGTTAGAAGCACAAATTCATCTTAAAGGGTTCGATGTAATAGCCATCACATAGACTTGGCTACAAGCTGGGCATGACTGGGAACTAAATATTCCAGGCTATTAAGATCTTTAGAAAAGACAGGGAAATTAGGAGGAGGAGGAATAGGAATATTGATCAAAGGCACAGATACAGCAGTTAGAAAGAAAGGATTTCAGGAAGGATGATCAGGTGGAAACACAATAGGTAGAATTAAGGAACAGCAAAGGGGGTAAGACTCTCGTGGGAGCTGTCTACAGACCAGATGTAGTGGGGGATATATAAATTCAGAAGTCAGGGAAATCAGCGAAGCACGTAACAAAAGCAATGTGGTTATAATGGAAGGATTATTATTATTATTTTAATGTTTACATAGACTGAGAGAAGCAGAACAGCCCAAGCAGAAAAGGCAACACATTTCTAAAATGTATTCAGGACAGTTTTGTTTTATATCTGTTAGAACCGACAAGGGAACATGGTATTCTAGATTTGGTGATGCGTAATGAGCCAGAATTAGTTAACGAGCTGATGGTAAAGGCAACATCTTGCAAACAGTTTGTAGGGAGTGGACAAGTTAGTAACATGTTAGTAGGTTACAGAGGTAGGGAGGAGCAAGATCGTGGAGGGCTTTAAAGGCAAGGATGAGGATCTTGTACTTGTAGGCATTCCCAGTATTTACATCAGATCCAACGAAGGCCTGCGACATAATCAGAAAGGAGCAGGCAGACTGAATTCCATGCTTATGAGGACATCCCAAGGCAGGTTATGCCTGGATATGAAATCATTATAAAGCTCAAGGGAAACCCACCTTTATTGGTCTCAGCAATTTTCGTAAGGCATTTAGTGAAGAAACTGGGCATCTCTACTGCTGCATTGAACCCTAATCATTTGTTGTGACATGGTGGTGGATGCTCCCAAGCGTAGCGTTAAAATAATAATCCTTGCTTTTGATACAGTGCTATATCAGGTCATCAATGCATCTCAAAGTAATTCACAGGGTTTTAGTGTGAAGTGTGGTGACTGTGTATTTCTAGGCGAATGCGACAGTCAATTTACATACAGCAATATCCTGCAAACAGCCATGGAGTGAGTTAACCGATATTTAGTTAGGGGATTGTTGGCCAAAACACCAGGAGAAACTTCCTTCTTCTTCAAACAGTGCTACGGGATCTTTTACTCCTCCCTGCTTCCACCTCTGCCATCTTCTCCTCAAATCTGTCTCCTCTGTCAACCATTCCCTCCAAATTAGCTCTGCACCCCTATCTTGACCAGATGATCATCCATGGTCTCTCTATTTCTGTCAAAACAATCCTGAATAAAGCCATCTCAAATTACTTTTTCATCTACCTAAACTCCTCCATCCTTCTTCCTGCCACCTAACCTACTACCATGTCCATCTGTCCCAGAAAAAAATTATCCTTCACTTGCTCTCTACTATCCTGCATGGAGGGCACTATATAAGTGCAAGTTGTTGTTGTTGCCTTCAAGTCCTCTGAACTCTTGCCTGCTGCAACCTCTGTCAACCTCCTACCCAACTCCTTCAGAAATATTCTAAACATCTTTGCCCCTATCACCTCCTTTACTGCCTTCCTACATTTCCCCCTGGTACAACTGTCTTAAAAAGAATGAGCTTGGGTTACGGAGAAAGGACAATTGAAAGGATTGCTCTTGAGAGAGCCGGCAAAGACACAATGGGCCAAATGACCTTTTACTGTGCAATAAATTTCAATGGTTCTCTGGTTCCACGGATGATAATCCACTCTATCTTTCTGCCTCCACCCTCGATTCCAGGATCAGTGCTGCTGTTCTGACTGATTGCCCGTCAAACATCTAATCCTGGATGAGCTCTAACTTTATTTAGTTGAATGTCACAAGACAGAGTCCCTCCTGCTTGGCTCCTGTCACTGCCTTCTTGCCTTAGGTACAGACTCCACCTTGAGAAACCAGTGCAGAACATTACTACCTTGTTTGACTTCCAATTGTCTTTTAACCCCCATATCCATACTCTTAATTCCCTCAATTCTCCCCCCACCTCTGAAGTATTACCCGTCTCTGCCATTTTCAGCCTGACTCAATGGCTAGCACTCTTGACTTTGAGTCAGACGGTTATGGGTTCAAGCACCTTGTCAGCATGTGACTTGGCTTCCGCATTCATCCACAATAAACACAAGTCATTGCACTTTCCAGTATATCCTATGAAGTGCTTTGGGACATTCTCCTGATGTGAAAGGCACTTTATAAAACGTAAGGATTATTATTAAAATCTCTTCACTGGAGCTCCTGAGACCTTAATCAATGTATGTGTCATGTTAGGGCTGGAGGGAAGCGCTTTGGGACGTCCTCCCGACGTGAAAAGCGCTATATCAAATGCAAGATTATTATTATTATTATTATCATAATTCCTGCATTTGATATAGCGCCTTATGGAGACGTCTCAAAGCACTGCACAGGATATACTGTAAAGTGAATCGACCTTATATTTTGTGGGCGAAACTCGGCAGCCAAATAGATTTAGAGACTCTTATGCCGCGTTTTCAATTAGTAGAAAATCACAGAGTTAGTTTCCAAGTTGGACCTTGTGGCTTATATCCTATGGATACTAATAAAGTGATTTCACAAACTATTCCTGTGTTGCCCATTGAGAGGGAATGAATGAATTGAATGAATGAATTCAATGACTGAATGAATGAATGCCAACACTAACATACCTCTGACACGATTGTGGAAAGGTAGGGATCTCGGTCGTATTCCCATCCATCTAAACAGTGCTCCTGCTCTACGGTGGACATGTCGATCTCGCCGTTAGGGAAGTTCTCGGATATGTTTTTGATCACGTCCAAACGATATCTCCGGCACTTGCTGTATTGGAGTGTGCCCACCTCCACGGGGATGGTTCGATTCATCCAAGCCTCACTGATGTTGAGATGGGTCGGAATCAAACACCGATGGTGTGGGGTCGCCGCAATGAAAACCATCCACATATTGTTCATGCCATTGGGCAAAACACTGGCAATGAGCAGGAAGAACACAAGTTGCTGGTAAGGTCCCCATTCGCCCAGGAAGGCAGTGATCTCATCGAAATCTCTCATGTTGGAAGGGCGCAGAACTGGTCCTGGGTTTCCCTTCGTTTCAAGAGGCTCAAGACATCTTTCGAGGTGAAACCACAAGGTTGAAGTCCCGCAGCTCCTCTATTGAGTTGATGTGGGTTATTAATAATCATCCAACCTTCGGCTACCACCGCCCCCTTTCCTTCCAGGTTCACTTGATCACAAGACCCGACTAATCATTAAGAGGATTTTCTTTGTCGTGAACTTGTTTGCCAAAACAGCTGGGCTGATTTTTTTTGTTCTCTCTCTTTCTCTATCCCATCTATCTGGACTGAAATATTGTTGTCAGAGCAAATAAACAGGTGAGAAACTTTGAGTACATCAAATCAAATCGCTCATTAAACTTGCAACTCAAAAAAAAAAGCTTATTTTGCCTTATTTTCGTCTATGTCATGCATTTAAGTTAGACTGCTCAAAGCATGTGAGGTGCAATAAAATGATATGAATTGCGCTGGACTCTTTCAATCATTTTATTACTGCACTGCCCTAACTTAGAACAGATAAAACGTAATTATCAACATCTATCCCCCGCTTTCACCCCCAGTGTGGAATGTAAGATTCTCTTAGCTATCAACGATCACTGTTTAAACGTGGGAATCCTTGTTAAGACCACTTATCTCCCCCAACTCTTGAGCCTGTAAAATTGGGATAGGTACAGGTTGCTAAACGACAGAAATCAACAGAAGTCAGCTGGATGCCCCAACAAAATTCATTGGCACCTGTAAGGCTGTTTAGTAAAAGAACACGATCAACAGATTTACATTTCAACCTGATGTACTTCTTGTATGGAAATCGACCAAATCTAATAGATCTGAACGCCAAAATATATTACACAGCCAGCAACTTTTTTTCTTGCAAGATTCACTTCCATTTTTAAAACCATTCTCTAAGGTTTGTGAGTATCTTATAAAACAGATCCAGACGCCGAAACTATATTAAAACAGCTAATCAGGTGGATTAATACTTTCAAGAATTAGGTAAGCAGGATGCATCCCTCTAGGAAGAGTACGCAATTCATTCTAATAAATTATCTTGGGAATTCAATGCAAAGGTGGGACGCATGGGAACTCTCAGTTTGGTTTGGATACTTGTAAGCATAGTGATGGGGGTCTGTAGGTTTCTGACCACCCCCACCTCCCCCTCCAACCCCTCAAAAATTAAATGCTTCTAAGCGCTGCCAACATTTGAAGGACTTGAAGCACGAAAGCACAGTGCTGCAGAATGGAGTGTAAGGTTTGCCAGAAAGAGACTTGACCCAATACAAGTGGTGTGAATTCATCTTTTATTATCATGTACAATTCAAATGTCAATGCTTTAACACAAACAATTATTATATTAAGTTACATTAAAGCAGTAAGATTCAACAAAAAACAACATGACCCTTAAAAACAGTAAGCATCACAAATATAATCTTGCAGGAGGAATGCAGGTTCAATCCCATCTCGATTCCTGGCATTGCCCATAAGACAACAATATTAGCTGAGTCCAGGTAATAGGTATGAGAAAAGCTATTTGTTCTCTCTGAACCAGATGCTCTTTAATCCAAACTCTCCTTCAGAGGGAAAAAAGCTCAATGTTTCACTTGTTTTTTTCAACAAAACCTCAAGAAAGCTTAAATGTTCTTTCAGTAGACCATTTTGGATTTTGTGCCCTCCTCCTTCGCTCCCCCCCACCCACCAAACAAGGTTTTGATTAACACCGAAACATTACCTGAACTCACCTTTGGACTAAACCAAGAGTTTACTTGTTCACTTGTTCTAGCAATAGCTGCAAGGTACCAGCAATGAATGGTTTATAATAATGATAATAATAAACCTTGCATTTGGTGTATTATCACTTTGTCCTGACGTCTGAAATAGCTTCACAAGATTTTACTGTCAAGAGTAACGACTGTATTTATAGGCAAATACGGCAATCAAATAGGAGGGATCAGACAGGGGGGGGGTAGCGATGCCGACTCAGGCAATTTTCGACTGCACGTGCGTAAATGCACAGAGGGTGACAAATATTGAGCTGCAGGCGCAAGTTGCCACATGGGGTTATGATATAGTGATAATAACAAAGACCTGATTCAAACAAGGGCAGGAATGGGAGCTTAGCATCCCTGGTTACAATGCATTCAGAAGGGATAGAGAAGGACAAAAAGTAATGGTGCGTGTCAGTATTGATCAAAGATGCTGTTACAGCCCTGGAAAGGGATGTCGAGCTAGAGGATTCAAAGAAAGAATCTATTTGGTTAGAGTTAAGGAGCTCTTTTTAATTTATATTAATGACCTGGATTTAGGAATAGGGGTCAAAATTTTAAAGTTTGCAAATGACACAAATCTTGGAAACATAAGATGTATATGTGGGTTTGCATGGCGTAGAAAACTGTAATCATAATAGTAATCGTTGCATTTGATATAGTGCATTATCACATCTTTCAGACGTCTCAAAGTTATCTTTTAACATCTGAAGACTTCACAGTCAATCTTGCTGAAGAAATTGCACTTTGTAGGAACATAGGAAAATAGGAACAGGAGGAGACTGTTCATCCCCTCAAGCCTGTTCCGTTATTTAATTAGATCATGGCTGATTTGTACCTCAACTAATCCTTTCAATTCTAATTTCCCGCTTTCTCTCCAATCTCTTAATATCCCGACCTACCAAAGATCTATCAACCTCACTCTATCAAACTTGGATCCAGCACCCACGACTCTTTGGGGGAGAGAATTCCAGATCTCTACCACCCTTTGAGTGAAAAAATGCTTCCTGATTTCACTCTTAAATAGCCTGCTTTTAATTTTAAGACTATTCCCCCTTGTTTTGGATTCCTCCACCAAAGGAAATAGCTTCACTGTATCTACCTTATCAAATCACTTTATCATCTTAAACGCCTCAATCTTAAACCCGGTAACAATCTAGTGAACCTGCGCTGCACCCTCTCCAAGGCCAATATATCTTTCCTGAGGTGTGGTGCCCAAAACTGAATGCAGTCTCCAAATGAGGTCTGACTGACGCTCTATGCAATTTTACTGTACTCTTCACAATAACAACAACTTGCACTTATATAGCGCCCTCCACGCAGTGTAGCATCTCAGGGCGCTTAACAGTAGCGGAGCCTGACTCCGAACCAGGGTGGGGTGGGGGCAGAGGTGGCCATAGGTACCGTCAAAGAGGAAGGTTTCCAGGAGGGACTTGAAAAAGGGGAGGGGGCAAAGCGGATGGATTGGGATTGAGGTAAAGTGTTCCGCAGTTCGGGGCTGGAAGCGCAATCTCGGATGGTGGGGTGGAGAGTGCGAGGGACGCGTAGAAAGGCCGGTGTCAGTCGAGTGGAGGCGCCGGGTGGTGGATTGGAGACTGAGCAATATTGCACGAACCACGCTTGGAAGTCAAGGCAAGTGCCAGGTGTGGGCACGAGCAGATAAAGATCAACAGCTGTCATGGCAAAACTTGACATTGATCCGAACATCTGCCTTTATTGGATGCTGCATTCACTGTTTCAAAGTGTTGAGTTTATCCAGTACAGACAGACACGCTGCATGCAGCTAAATCTCATGAAAGTATCCCTGCTGCTTATTATTTTGATTATTTTCTTTTAATAATAAGTTTGGGTTTAAAGATGGATAACAGGCAGGTTCTAACAAGCAGAAAGATTAACCTTAAAACTTTACCCCTCCAAGCTTCATGGAAACTAACTGTTTCCCTTGTCAACATAGCCACAGGGTATTTAACATCTGGTATTTGAAGTATGTTGCTTAGACCTGATTAACCTCAGTTTTGCAGATCTGATTATTTTAAATTTAATTATTGACAAGATTAAAAATTTCTTCAAAATACCATATCAAATAGATATTTTACTTCCAGTGCAGAGCATAGCTAAGGTGGCTGAGTGAGTTGTGAGAAGATTATATCAGCTGTTCTGGGAGACTTAAACTAAGGTCCCGTCTGGACAAAAAGTAAAGGGAATTTCTCCCAGTATCCTGACCCAAGACCATTCACTTCATTAGCTTCATGGCTATTTGTGGGACTTCGCTGTGTGCAAATCGGATGTGACATTCATCCACAAAAACACAGTCACTTCACTTTACAGCACAGTACAGCAACCCTAACTTAACTAACCCTGGCTTAACTGGAATTCAAACCCAGCTGGATCAGGTCTGACACCAAAAATATATATTTTTAAAATTTCCATGGGGCCAGTGCATTGCAGCCTCCTGCCACCCATTCTCCTCTCACTATGAGTAGCCTCACCGTCCTTGTTGGCATTCACAGTGACCAGAGATAGTGACTTTTAACTCTGATTGTTTGAATACCATGAGCAGAAGATAGACTGTTTTCTCTGTTTCTAACCCTAACCCAAACTCTTTATACTGGAAAACATTGGGAACCCTAACCCTACCAAGCAGACTGCAGCAACTCTAAACCCAACCCTAAACCCTAACCAGCACTAACCCTAATCGCAACCCTTAAACCCTACCCCTAACTGTAACTGTAATTAGGGACTAAATCCTAAATTTTATTTGGCTAATATGTGTTCAGTTATCAGACCACATTATCTCCACTTTGTGTTGCCAAACCTCTGGAGTGTGGAAAAGTGCAAGACAGAAAGAGGGCACTAGATTCAGTTATCACACCACACACTTATAGTTCACCCTAGTACGCACTTACCTTATAGTCCACAGAAGAGTGCAACAGGCCTGAGCCAACCCTGACTGAGACCAACTCTCAACTACACTGAACCAAACCTGACAGTGTAATCATGTGTAATGGTTATTTTTTTTGGGGGGGGGGTCAGCCAGGTGTCTGACACACGCAGAAACTCATCACCGTGCTTAAGATTATCCAAACCAAGCTGAGATGTCCATGCGTCCCACCTACACATGGAAGTCCCAAAGATAGACTGTTGGAATGCTTTACATACTCTCCCCTGGGACGTGTCCTGCTTATCTAATTCTAGAAAGTATTAGACACAGGTTGGCAAGAGCCAAGGCTTGGGGGACCCCAGAGTGTGCGTTGGGGTACTGTTGGAGTCTAACCAGCTAAAACCGAATAGCTTGCCATTGATATCCCTATCTGGCAAGCTTTCCTGCTGCTTGTCCAGCTAGGACCAACTTACCTGTTAGGGCTTTGGCTTGCAGGGTTAACAGGAGCTGAGCGGGATGACTTCTTGTCCCAGTGACTGGTCTGCCCTTCCAGGTCCTGCTGATGAGCCAGGCTGGCTCCTGCGGACCCGCCTGGATCAGGAACTGGACTAGAGATTGCCACAGAGGACTGGCTCGATTCCGACATTCCTTTGCCAGGCAATGTCACCTTGGAGCCAGTTCAGCTCCAAGGAGACCCTGCTTAATCATGTGCAATCGTGATTACACACACTGCTCTATACAAGAACCATATGACAATCCCTGACCACCCACAGCGCTGCCTGCCTGTACAGGAGCCACACTGCAGTCTCTGACCGCACAGCGACTCCTGCTGTTCGCGGCACATAACTACATGTAGCTCAATGAGTGAGCAAAGCAGGAATTTCTATCTCATTGGAAAGAAGGCCAAAGGAAACTGCTGCCAATTTTATCGAGGAGATTGTTATCCAGGACAAGAGGAGAAACTCCCTTCTCTTTTCCAATAGTGTCATGAGACCTTCAACATCCATCCGAACAGGCACAGCCTCAGCTTAAGGTTTCATCCGCAGGATCGTGCCTCAACAATGCTAGTTTCAGAGAGTGCTGTGTATATAGCACTTTATATTTGTTGAATTGCTGAGTGGTTTGTTGTTGAGGCTGGGTGTGTATCTATGTGTGTTTGTGTGTGACAAGCAATTCTATTGTTCATTAAACTTTCATTAATTTTCCATTCCAGCAATCACACACAACTCGCTCTCCGCAGCTGTTACACCGCTCAGTGGCTTAATGCAGTGACAGGTTGTCTATCAACGTTTTTACTGCATCGCCAACCTCGAAAACAAACCAGAGCCTAACGAGGAAGATTAGGTTACAGCACAGGAAATGCTGTCTCCCCTCCCCTTCTCTCACCACCGGAGTGTGATGCTTTGTGCAAATGTACAATGTGTTTTATCTGATCGCATTACCACAGGATGGCAGTGATGCTCCATGCAAACCGTGAATTTATACATTTGAGACGTCTCAATGATGTGCTATGGCTATCTCAAATCCAAGCATTATTATTATTGCCATGTTTTATTTCGCCCACAAGATATACAATCAATTCACTTGACAGTATATCCTGTGAAGTGCTTTGAGATGTCCCAACGAGGTCATAAGGCCCTAAATAAAATACAAGAATTATTATTATTATTATTATCACGTTTTCTATTGACAAAGTAACCATTTCCACCACTGAAGAGCGATGATTCGTGCAACAGCAACAAATTACATTTGTATAGCGCCTTTCCCGTCGGGAGGATGTCCCAAGGTGCTGGACAGTCAGGAATTTGCACTCAAGCACGGGGTTGAGATCAGGAGGGGTGGAGGGCACAAAGGGTAGGGGTAGGAGGGTGACCAAAGTCGCGGTCGAAGAGGAGGGTCTTGAGACAGGTCTTGAAGGAGGCAAGGGATGGAGTAAGGCAAAGGGAATGTGGGATGGGGTTCCAAAGGTTGAAGACAGAGAGGCAGCTTTTTTTTTCTCCCCGGCCAACCAAGAGCTATGGCCCCCGCGACAATCAGGATTTCAGGCCGACCTGAGAGATCTACACTTGCTCATCAGTCCAATACAATTTGCAATGGTTTAAAAAATTATTGCAGCCTTCAAAATAGATTATGAGCTTCCAATAATCTAGAAAAAAATACAATATTGGATTGTTGTGAATGTACTTACACGTCAACAAGTACTAAACACTTGGGATGTTCAATTCTATAATAAACCCCATGGTTCTGCTCATGAAATAAGACTCACTACAAATCTTTTTTTTAAAAAGAAAATATGGACATGATAAGAACCATCCTTACATGTTGTAATGTGCCCTTCACGGCTGAAGGATTCCCAAAGCACTTCACAGAATAGATTGTAAAGTGCAGTGGCTGTGTGTTGTGTGGACGAACTTGCGAGATATTGAATCTTTAACCTCCAGTATTCATTGGCCTTTAACCCATTTGTCACCAAAAATCTTCTGCAAAATACATAATGTTTTCTAAACAAATGTACTGCTCCCAGAGAGAGGACTTAAATTAATTTCTCAGAAATTGCCTTACAGCAAAAGACAGGAAAAAAAATTGTTTTGCGATGACACCATATTGTCATTTTATTGAAACACCTCAATGCACAATAAGGGGATTGAAGTGTTTTGTTAAGAGTAAATAGGGAGAAACTTTCTCTGGTGGGTGGGTCGGTAACCTGAATACACAGATTTAAGATAATTGGCAAAAGAACCAGAAGGGAGACGAGGAGAATTATTTTTACCCAGGGAGTTGTTATGGTCTGGAATGCACTGCCTGAAAGGTTGGTGGAAGCAGATTCGATAATAGTTTCAAAAGGGAATTGGATGGGTACCTAAAAAGGAAACATTTGTGGGGCTGTGGGGTAAGAGTGGGGGAATGGGACTAGTTGGTAGCTCTTTCAAAGAGTTGGCATAGACAGGATGGGCCAAATGGCCTTCTGTTCTGTACGATTTTATGATTCTATACTGGTACACATTGGATCTTTGTCAGAAATATTACAGCTATTAATAATCCAATATGCTAAACAAACTCTTAATCCGCTACAAAGACATGTGAAAAGAATCTGTTAGTAATGAATACATCACTAGTCCTGGACACACCAGTCCAGAGAAAGGAGTTTATGGATATTCTTCCATAATCAATTCAACAATTAAACTGCAAGTATTCTGTCTACATTAGAGTTAATGAAAATAACCGGCCTTTGCATGGATTGTTTTTTAAAAAAAAGACTTTGAGAAGACTGTTTATTCTTTAAAAAAACTATCCAACGTATTAAAGCTGTAGGTTTCAAGGAGCTATAGGCCGTCAATGGGATCTTAAGCTTTTTCCAAATCGGAAGACACATTTAGATTTTGTCCTTTTTTTAAAAAATGGAAACGTAACAGGAGATTATTGCCTTGAAAGAGTATTGTGTGTTGGCTGGGACAGCCTAGCTGATTAAGAATAGACCCTTAAGTTTCTGCGTGTTGTAAGCACTATTACAATGACTTAGTTTTCATTGTCCCGTGTGGAGTCAGCACCATCAGGTAAAAAAAATAAAGAACATACGACAATTCTGACTCCGTACAGACTCTGGACATTAAATTCATATTTTACCTGTGGCCCATTGATCCTTTAAAAACTCAGGTCTAAAAAGCCAAGATTTTTTTTTGTTTTGGTTTTAAATAGGGAAGAGATCGAGAAAGCACATCTCGGTGTTTGCTTTCACACCCTGGAATTGGGATACACGGCTACAACTTCATATCCCTCTGGGGGCTGAACTCGTGCTTTTGCATGGGTCTCACAGTATAGCTGCTCTTCTATGAAGAAGTATCCTTTCTGCTTGAGATTAATTCCACAGTCGGAGCACATGAAGCACGTTGGGTGGTACAGCTTCTCTCGTGCCCTAACAATGGCACCGCTAGAAATACAAAAAAGGACACAGTTAAAATCATCAGAGGCACCAAGACAGACAGACAAATGGACACATACACACATCCCTAAAATACAAGATTATGTTTACACAGCACCTTTCACGTCGCGAGTCAGGGATTTGGATCCGAGCGGGGGTGCGGGGGTGCGGGGGTGGGGGGTTGGGTTAAGGGAGGGTGGAGGGCAGGGAGGGGAGGAGAGAGCCCGAAGGCTCTGTCGAAGAGGAGGGTCTTGAGACGCACCTTGAAGGGAGGGAGTGAGGTGAAGGGAATGTGGGATGGAGTTCCAAAGGGTCGGGGCAGAGAGACTGAAAGCCCGAATGACGATGGTGGGCCGGGCAGGGAGACGTGTGGGAAGGATTCAGAGAAGTGCAACAAGGATAACTACGTTTTTGCTCCCTGAGCTTAATCCACTTCCTGCGTTTGCCACAAATCTACCTCACAGCCGAATGCTGGACTTTGCTCCTAGATTTTATGACCCCATCCGTTACCTTTTCTAGTCTGATTTTGCTGGTCTTCACCTCAGCCACAGCCAAAGTTCTCCTCTGCAGGAACTCAGAACCGTAAAGGAGAACGAGGCTTCCATGCCGCAAGCTTGACTTGGGACATTGGGATCTTCCTGTTCCTTGAATAGAGACAAGTACACGGCCCTTTTGAATTTAGTCTCGTGTGAATATACTTACACTATACCAGTCTCACATCTAACGCACTGAGGCAGCTTCTGTGGCGGAGGCAGAGGACTACTGAGCTTCGTTACTGGGGACTTGACACTTCTGGTTACAGCAGAAGTTTCACTTTTGTCACCTGCAAGAAAATTCACAAAATATAGGTTCATTTTTAAAAGTTAGAATTATATACACACACGTACACGCACACCACCATATATATATGTGTATATATGAATTTATCCCAGCATTTGACTTACTCCAAATTATGCTCTTTATGTTGTAAATAAATGTACATTTCTGGAAGAAAGGTAAAATCTGACACTCGTGGAATAAGATGTGGAATATATATGCACATGTTAAATACAACTCCAATTTTTTTCTTGGCTTTCTGCCGGTAACATAGGGAAAACAAATATGCTTAATTGTATTGTAAAGCTTCAAAACTATTCGTGCAGGTAAGATTTTAAACCGCTAAGATTGTCACATGCTGCTAACATACTTTCAGTTGATATGATAGGCGCTATACAAATGTCATTTGTTGTTGTTGTGGTTTGTTTCCTCTACCACAAAATACACACTACACTCTACAGTATATTCTGTGAAACGCTTTGAGATGTCTCAATGACCGCGATAAGGCGCTATGTCAAATGCAAGGATTATTATTATATGATTATTATTACCACCAACATGACTGAAACTTTCTTGAAAGTTTCGATGTCATGATGATAATAATAATAATAATAATAATCCTTGCATTTGATATAGCGCTTTTCACGTCGGGAGGATGTCCCAAAGCGCTTCACAGAACACACTGTAAAGTGAATTGACTGTATATTTGTGGGCGAACGCGGCAGCCAATTGCGCACAGCAGTGTCCCACAAACAGTCGTAGATTGAAAATGACCAATTTATTATTGTTTTTGGTTTTGGAGGGATTATTATTAGGCTCTGTGTGGAGTAAGGAAACTTGCCCAAGGTTTCACTCTGCCTGCAATTGAACCCAGGTCTCTCGCTTGCAAAGCGAGTGCTCTTACCACTGAGCTACAGGACACCTGCGCTACATGATCCTACACCTGGGGGAAGAAAACAGGTTTGAGAAGAGTTTTTGGATCCCACAAAGACAAATAAGGATACTTTCAAGCCTGGAAGGGATTTACATTTTTTTTGATGTTATACAAGATTATAAGGATTAACCATACTTAGCTTACAAGGAGGATCTAATATCATACAAAGACATATGATGAACCTTCTTCTTTTTACAGTACTTACAACAACAAATTGGCTTTATATAGCGGCTTTCACGTCAGGAGGATGTCCCAAGCTGGACAGTCGAGGGTTTGCACCTGAGCTGGGGGTTGGATTTGGGAAGGGTATGGGGCAAGGGGGGAGACCGTGGAAGATGACCGAAGGTTAGTCTTGAGACGGCTCTTGAAGGAGGTGAGGAAAGTGAGGCGAAAGGACACTGGGTTGGAGTCAAGAAGGCTGAAGGCCCACCAATCGATGGTGGGGTAAGTAGGTTTGGGGATGTGACATCAAACAGTGCCTGCCAAGCTGAGGGAGCGGGCGGATTGGTAGGGTTTTTGGTAGGGTCTTGCCCCACCCTATCACAAAGATAGGGTGGGGCAAGACCGTGGAGGGATTTAACAACAACAGCAAAACTATATTTGTAAAGCGCCTTTCACGTCGGGACGATGTCCCAAGGCGCTGAACAGTCGGGGATCAGGACCTGAGGTCTGATTGCTCAATATTTTCCGTGAAACGGACTTAACCGAAATCACACACAGAAAAATTCATATATAAATTCCAGTTTGTGCTCAATTTTTAAATATTTATTAGACAGCAGTAAGCATGTCACACTTGGGCCTCTTTGCTTCTGGGTTCCAGATGAGCACAAGCCAGCCAGGTTCTTGCTCCCAGTTGCTATTCAAATACAAGTTTGAAATACAAGTCCATTTGATTACATTGAAATCTAACTTCCTAGTTTTTAAATTACAAATTACTTGTGGATTAGGGAAAATCAGATTTGCCAGCACGCCGTATATATAGATTTTTTTTAAAAAAACACTTCTGTGCCCAAATGATTTTGAATACTCGGGTATCTCACACATGCGGAAACCCATCACTATACTTAAGAGTATCCAAAGCGAACGGAGAGTTCCACGCGTGTGTCACTTACACACGGAAATGTCCCTGGCTAGGAATGGAATGTACATGCACTCGCGCACGAGGGCCACACTTTGTTTATCCAATTCCGAAGCTATTAGGCACATGTTTGGCAAGAGCTAAGGCTTGGGGACCAAGTGTGCACTTAGGTGTTGTATTCAAAATTAAACCAACTCAAATCTAATATTGCCCAGAGAGTACTTTGTGCCAAACATCCTGCCGTATGTACAGATAGGATCACCCTATCCATTAGGAATTTTGCTTGCAGAGTTAACAGGAGCTGAGTGGGAAGGATCCCTGCACCTCAGTGACTGGTCTGCCTCTCCAAGTCCTGGTAATAAAACAAGCAAAACTGGTCTATCTGAAGTACCACAGACATGGCTGGCTTAGGAACCAGACTACCGAGACCGCCACAGAGGGCTGGCTCAACTCCAACGTTCTGTTACAAGCAGATCATCTTGGAGCCGACTGAGATCAAAGGAGACACACACACACCCACATACGCACTCACACCCTTGCCCCGGAGGATAGTCACTAATTACTGTGATCAAATAGAAAACATTTTGTAGAAATTTTTAAACTTACTGCAAATAGATTTGCATCCAATACACACAAATGAGTGGCGGTCACATTACTGACGGAGGATTACCTGTCTGCTCAGCTTCCAGCATGCCCTGCAGCATTTTGAAGGAACCAGACTGTTTAGGCTCTGATATTGGCTCACTGCCGTCTTGAAGCATTTTGTAGACGTCCGACTCAGTGTCGATTTCATTCCAAGTCTTTGGCGACAATTTTGGTGGTTCGGTGCTTCAGGAAAGGAAGTTAACAGAATCAACCAAAATGAACACAAACAGAGTGTGTGTGTGTGTGTATGTGTGTATATAGATCTTTAGCTCTGCAGATTGCCAAATAAAAAGGTTTCATCATCATATTTTCTGAACCTCTCCGGTAATGATGAAGCCTATAAGCGTCTAGAAGAACAAGCATTGCAAAAGCTTGTGGTTGCATTGTTATTATTAAGAGCTCAGTGATAAAAAAAAAATCCCTTTGCAACTTTTATCCCTCCAAAAAGTAATCCTTTACTTTCTGAAAGTGAATCATTTTACTTTGGCGAAATCATTAAGACGTACTTACTTCTGAGGAGAAGTGACATGAAGGCCACTTAGCTTTCCCTGTAAGGTGGTGTCGACGATGTCATTGGCATATAATGCCGCAGGAGTGTTGTACTGTGCGTTTACCAATTGTTTGGTCTCAATTATATTTCCACCAGCAGCAAATGGCATTGGTTTTCTGTTATGGGAGCTCCCTATAGATTTGTCGTCCTGCAACAGCAATACATTACAGTTATATTGTGCTTTTCACATCGGAAGGACTCCTAAGATGCTGAACTATTAAAGGTTTGCACCCGAGCTGGGGGTTGGAATTGAGATGGTTGGAAAGTAGAGGGAGCGGGGGTGGGAGTGTGGCCGAAGGCATGAATGCAAGAACAGATTTTATTATTCTATGGAGATGTAATAATATCTTGGGGGAATATGGCAGTTCCAAAGCTTAATTACAAGAATAAGCCACTCATTTTTTCCTATCGGTTATCAGATTGAAATACTCAGGTTGCACATTGTGTTCCAATTATTGGCTAGTGTTTGATTTTTGCCTCACTGGAGTAGCTTCCAGTTAAAAATAAGGATTCTGTCCTCTTTCAGAAAGAAAAAGGGACACTGCTGTGCGTAATTGGCTGCCACGTTTCGCCCACAAAATTTACAGTCCATTCACTTTACAGTATATTCTGTGAAGCGCTTTGAAACGTCTCGGAGACGTGATAAGGTGCTATATCAAATGCAAGGATTATCATTATTATTTACCAAAATAATTTATCTGTACCAATTGACAAAGTGTGATGGGAATACAATTCAGATGTATTTCTATTTATTGTACTATTAACAATAGTAGGTTAAATTGTCTGGTAAATCACAATGGGCCTCAGCATTCTAACTCAAAAAATAATTTACATTTGGTGTAGCACCTTTCACATCAGGAGGATGTTTCAAAGGTTCAAGCATATACTGTAAAGTGTAGTAACTGTATGTTTAGTGGGAGGATGTGCATAATCTTAATTATCTTGGATCAGCTGTTTCTTTAGTCAACATAACTTTGCAGAGAAGTTTCTTTACCTACAGAACACACATTGTATTTTGGAAGAAATTCAATCATTGTTTTGCAGATTGCTGAAAAAGCCCAGTGAAAGAATGACTTCAAGATTTCTTTCCGATGACAATATTCCTAACAAAACCGGGCAGTAACATCCGTCAATTCAATCATATTGCAAAACTCAGGCCACTCTCATTTCACCATGGAAGGAGAAATCAATGTGTTTTCCTATTTTTACAATGAATAATACGTTGATGAATAGTTTGCGCTTTTCAGCAGACTTCAGATCACAATTAATGGAAAACAGGTTTACAAATGTTTAAAATTGTGTAAACCTACTTAACTATAATTCTGAAAATTTTAGGTAGCACAAATCTTGAATCCTTCAAACTCTAGGGCAGATTGGTTATGCACTCAGAAATAGATTAAATGTCCAAACCTATTCCATAATCAAGTACCTGTGGTTCTGACTGTAGGTTAGCTTTGAAGGGGTGTGAGTTTCCTTCCTCAAAGCCATTTGGGGACCACAGATTGCTTTCAGATCTGCAAAAAAGAATAAGAGACCGCCTTGAGCTACAATCCAGTTGGGAACGGCAAATAGAGAACAACAATAACAAATTATATTTGTAGAGCGCCTTTCACGTCAGGAGGAGGTCCCAAGGCGCTGGACAATCAGGGAATCGCACCCGAGCTGGTGATTTGACCCAAGAAGCTGTACTTCATGTAATAACATCAATTATTGTTGTGCCCTCGACCCATGCTGGACAGCCAATTATCCACAGGACCAATAATGTCACAATTGTAGTATGAGGCAACTTTCATCTCTCAAGAGCAAATGGAGAGCCTGAGAGCAACGGCAACAATTTACATTTAGATGGAGCCTTTCACGTCGGGAGGATGTCTCCAAGTGACTGGGCATCAGGCTGAGGATAGTGAGAGCACAACAACAATAGTAATAATCCTTGTATTTGATATAGGGCCTTATCACGTCTTCGAGACGTCTCAAAGCGCTTCACAGAATATACTGTAAAGTGAATTGACTGTATATTTTGTGGGCGAAATGCAACAACCAATTGCGATAACACTTCAAAAGGGGAGAGAGAACAAGCAGAGGTTGGGGATAAACGATTAAAACAAATCTATTGGAGACCATCTTTTTAAAATAACATACAAATAGAAGAACACCATATGGACCATTTATCAGATCGAATAAGATTTATTTACACACAAAACAAACAGTGGTATATTTAGATCATGTGGGCAACACAATGAATTACATCATTGTGCCGTTTCACCAAACAACTGAGGAAATAACGCATATCAGTTTCACTCAATCTCCTGATTAGATCTCAATATAGCACGGAGAGAACTTCCAGAGGAGAGCCAGAAAAAAACCAAGTCAATCCAGTCATATACTGAATGTGAAACCACAGTATAATTTTCTTTTTAATACTGAAGGGCTAAAGGCCACATGGATGGTATGTGACAGGACTACTGACTAAATCTGGAACAGATTATGGATGTGTATTATGTTGCTCTACAATTTCTCCTAGCAGTCGCATGACACAGCACACAGGAATAAAACTTTCTGCGCAGATTCCTGCCTGCCTCACATGTTTATTCAGATCCACACTCTTCATTAATCACATATCAAACAGAAACGATCACCGATGACTCAGAGGGAGAGTGATAGCAACAACAACAACTTGCATTTATATTGCGCCTTTCTCACAGGATAACGTCTTGTAAACTGTCACTGTAAATATAACAATAATAATCCTTGCATTTGATAAAGCGCCTTATCACGTCTTCGAGACGTCTCAAAGAGCTTCATAGAATATACTGTAAAGTGTATATCTTCCGGGTGAAACATGGCAGCTAATTGCGCAGAGCAGCGTCCCACAATCAGTCGTGGTTTGATTGACCAAATTATTATTTTTTTTTTAAGGAATTATTACCCCAGGAAAAGCGATCCGCCAACCGGGGTCCTACTTATTACTAGGGAAACAAGAGGCGTGTGGGGTAAGGAAACTTGCCCAAAGTTTCGCCCTGCCTGGGAAGCAAACCTAGGTCTCTCGCTTGCGAGGCGAATGGTCTTCCCTTGCCTCCGGGATCATCCCAGAGAGACAATGTGCCAGCCAGCAATGTTAAAGCAAGACTGCAGGCCTGTGAGGATGGACTGTCAGTTTGTCCAAGTGTGTTGCCTGACAGAGGTGGGCTGATATCTTATGCACCGCATTTAAAAATATATGCAATATATAGGGATGAGCATTGAGTTAGTATAATTGGAGAAAACACTTTGATAGCCTAGAGGAAAGATTAAGATTTTGTTATAATTGCTTTCAGGTGCTCATCCGGATTAATATGCTTCTCATTTTTTTTAAAAAAATCATCTGACAAACCTTGTGCATTGTGTACTTGCTGTAAGGAAGAAAAAAAACAATTTAAACACCTCTAAAGAAACAACCCGTTCACCTACAATTATAGGAATTTATTTTGAAATATTGTGCGATTCGGAGACCCAGAAAGCGGAATAAATTGCATTGCATGGTTTTTAGCAACAAATTGCTCACAGCTTCCGCTCAGCGTTCATGTTAAAGCACTTCTCTTTGTCTCAAAAGAGAAGCAATGTTTTCTTTAGAAGTGAGGTCATTCATCAGGTTCATGGAACAAGAAACAAAGAATTCTGGAGTTTGTTTCTGCTGCATGAAGAAACTTGTTGACAGCCTAATGGGAATTTGTACAGGTTATTGTTCTCTTGTTGCTATATGAGATTTGCATAGCAATGACATGTGAAGTGACAAATCTGAACAGGCCTTCCAAGAACTTCTTGAAAAAGGTTTGTAACGTACAATAAAGTTCTGCAATACCATTCGAGCCGTAGTTTGGAAAGGGCTCAAATGTGATGTTGTTTATCGTCAAATAGCCTGACAATTTTCAAGACCTAAATCCTCATGGTTTTAGTACCGTTCTTATAGTGTCAGCCTGGTAAATTCCTTGCATAGTCCCACCAGGAATTTAGCACATGGTATGATAAATAGCTGGGCGAGATTTGAGATGAATACAAATGGGTATTTACTGATGAAACATCACGTTAGCGATCCTTATCCCTGTGTGAGCTGGACAGCAAGTGTTTCAGGCTGTTCGACCATGGAGTCAGAGCCAAACCTTGTTCTCTTTTCCCCAGACAGCTACACACGCACTTTCACACTGGCTAGTGATGAGAAATAGGAATCCTGGATGATTTTTCTCCCAAACCCAGAGGCACCAACAGGCAACTGCAGCGCACTAACAGCTGCCCTGAGAGGGATCAGTTAAGTCAGGGCAGACTGGGAATTGAACCAACAACCTTCTGATCCATATCATAATAATAATATAGTCTAAAGATGATCCAACGTCAGCTAAACCATGGGAGAGCGAGGGGGAAATCAATCTGCAGAATTAAACACAATTTTTTAAAATGAAAACAAGGCAGCCCCATGACTGTACATCATCTGCTAGGAATCATTTATTACTACTGTATGTTTTTGACTGCATCCTTTGTGAATCTGTCACATTAACATACACTGCTGCGGACTAATACATTTATCATAAGACGGAAAACCTCTAAATCTTAATTATAAAACAAGCCACATTTTCCCCTTTTATTTGTGGGCATTGTGATTTTCAACTCGATAATGTTTTCATATATCAGTTTTTCCCTTCTGTCGATTTAGTGTTCCTCATGCGTGTGTGAGTGCAGTGTTAAATTTCGTGTTATGAAGTTCTATTGCTAATATTTTCTTTCTTTTCAATTGGCTTACTTTAATCATCGATTTTAAAGTCTGGTGAATAAATTTATAAAAGTTGCACACACACACACACACACACACACACACAAACACAGTCAACCCAAACTCACACAGTTGTCAACTAAGATTTTCCTGATCTTAAAATAACGAAGAAAATTGGCTTCAAAATACGGGGTAAATTTAACATGATTCAGAAGCATATGAAATGTCTGCAATTAAGCTTCAGGTATTATCATCATAAAGTAAAATATTCCCACCAACAGAGCAGACTCTGAGGCACAACCCATTATATACTCCAAATAATGAGAAATGGAATAGATATTTAACCACTCCATATTTAGCTTTGCACTATTATCCAAAATGGGTAAAAAAATGACTGTTAGCTCAACATCACTGGGATAAGGTTCCACCTGGGTTCAGATTTACTCCATTTAGCATTCCAGTATGTCGAGAATTTAGCAAATTATTGAATTCAGTCTTCGTCCTTTTACACAGACATTTTCCTGCACTTAAAATAGCAAAGAAAATTGGCTTCAAAATATAGGGTGAATTTAACAATTTGCCAAATTCTGTATGCTCTGAAAAGTTATATTGATAGAGTAAACGACCAGTGGGACTGCAAACATTATGCCACAGTTAATTGTGTATTCACTTTACACTAAATATTCAACAAGTGATTACAACAACAACAACAACTTGCATTTATACAGTACCCTTCACGCAAGGTAGTGTTCTGGAGCGCTTACAAGTTAGATAATGAATTTTAAATACAAGCACCTTCCAAATTTATCCCCACTTCTTCCAACAACCCTTTAACAAAGACAAACAAAGTCCCTAATTCAGGGACTCAGACCTTTAAATAATGGTTGTTAAAAGATTTAAACATTGATAAAAGTTAGACTTTGAACTCCTGTCAACTCACTTTAAGAGGTAGCAGTTGAGAACTTGCAGTTTTACTGTCTTGTGTGATATTTCTAAATAAAGCACTCTTTCTTTATACCTCAATAAAAAAAACACATGTGCACAGTTGGGAGTTCAAAGTACTTTTCATATGGTGGAACCTCGATAAGATCTTAATGAGTTTTCACATAACTTTGCCATTACCTGAACTCGGCTAATAAGAGTCATTGATAATCCACCCGAAAAGATGTGTGCTGAAAGTGTCTGGTTGAATGTGTGAGGCATTAGTTAAAGTGCCAACACATTGTGCTCTCAACTGGTACATTTAGTTCAATCAATTCCCTTCACACGGAAGGACTGGTTAAGCAATCTCCAACATGAGGAAAAACATTCCATACCCAAACACCACCCTGAAAACAAACCACAACAACAAATAACAGTTACACTGAGGCTTTCGCGTCAGAAGGGCATCCCAGGGTGCTGTACAGTCAAGGGTTTGCACCTAAGCTGGAGGTTGGAATCAAGAAGGGTGGAAGTAAGGGGGCTGGAGGGTAAGGGGGCTGGAGGGTAAGGGGGCTTATACTTATACATTTCACACTGGATCTACAGTCTCAGGAATCAAAATACAACACCAAATTACACCTGTACAGCGCCCTTCATGTCGGAAAGACATCCCAGGGCGCTGGACAGTCAGGGTTTTTTGATCGTTTGGCCCAAAAAAGTATTGTCTGATTATAGAATGAGAAATAGAAATACTGCACAAGTGTCTCGCTGGTTTACCTGAAACCTTTTGTTTTGTGCTGTCGAAAGTGAGCAATACAACATGTTTAATTTAGCAACTCCATTGAAGATGAGGCGAGGACACAAATCCCCCATTGCCCAGTTACTGCCCGCAATGACATTATTCAGATTGGCATTTGGCACTAAAACCCAATAGAAAACAGTGTCAGGTTTACTTTGGTTTCTCCAACACTGGAATAGTATTCCAATAACAACACTGGTTAACTTTCCTGTACCAAAAGTAAACTGAATAATATAATAATAATCCTTGCATTGGATATTGCGTCTTATCATGTCTTCGAAACATTTCCAAGCGCTTCACAGTATATACTGTAAAGGGAATTGACTGTATATTTTGTGGGCAAAACACAGGAGGACCAATTTTTTATTCTTTTATTTTTTGAAGGGATTATGACCCCCAGAAAAGCGATCTGCCAATTGACTAACAACCAGGTTAGTACTTACTGCTAGATAAACAGAGGCGTGTAGAGTAAGGCAACTTGCCCAACATTTCCCTCTGCCCAAGAATCGAACCCAGGTTCTCTCACTCTAACCACTAAGCTACAGGACTCCTGAATTTAGATTATACGGTCTTTCAGATTTTCTGTGATTTTTAGTGACTCCATTTTGGAATCAGGATTCAAGCGGCAGAGTTACCCTTTGATGTCCTGGGCACGGATCCACAGCATCTTGTGTTTTTCTTAATAAAACTTTTACAACGTGGAACACTGATTTTGAAAATCATAAAGAGATTTCATATTCCAGGAATGCTCCGCATTACTAAAGAGGAACGAGTTTAAATCTGATTTGTGATATGCAGTTATCTGTTGATGCAAATTCTGTGGCAACCTTACTTTCTAAACAAGCACGGACAGATATAATGATGCAATTCAATCAAAGCATGTCATTTGAATGGTTTGCATACAATATAATGATAAAAGGGGAGTGCGCGGAAGAGTGGGATTAATTTAGATAGCTCTTTCAAAGAGCCAGAGCAGGCACGATTCGCCGAATGGCCTCCTTCTGAGAGGTATAATTCTTTGATTCTATGATTTTATGAAAAGTTACGAGCAATTGCTCTTCCCAATGCTATAGAGGCCAATGTCAAATCACTTTGCGGTTTATTCTGTGAAGTGCTTTGAGACGTTTCAAAGACGTAATAAGGCACCATATCAAAAGCAAGGATTATTATTATTATATAATGTCAGTAAAAGCATTTTGTTCAAGAAAAATTCATGCTTTTGTCATGTGTCCGGTCTAGGAAGAGTTCTCAACGGTCGAATATACTTTCCTCCCAAATTTTTGTCAGTCCTTATTGGGAAATTTCACTTATCCTCAGCAAGATTCTTTTTACTTACTGACCTGTTGATGGTAAGAATGAGTTGGTCTGTACAGGCTTTGATCTTGTTTTGAGCATCCAAATGGGTCATCTTTTCTGTACTATCTTCATTGATCGCCAATATAACATCACCAGGTGAGAGGTTAGCTGTGGATGCCTTACCTCCAGGGGTAACCTTCAACAGTTAAAAAGCCCACACATCAGAATGTTTTGACATCGAGAGTCTAATAATTGAAACATTTATTAAAATGTAGTTAGACTTTACATTACTCCACAAATTTAAAGTGATAAATACTAATAACATCTCATTTTCTAGTGATTAAACGATTAATTGAGTCATGTCATTATGAGTTATACTTATTACAAGCACCCTAGGAGGTTAACCGGCATGAAGGGCGCTGTATAAATCCAAATTGTTGTTAAGTTGTTGTATTCTCTCTGGAGGAAGGAATCTTCCAATGCCAGATGTAATACAACGCCTTATAATAATAATAATAATAATAATAATAATCCTTGCATTTGTTATAGCGCTTTTCACGTCGGGAGGAAGTCCCAAAGCGCTTCACAGAATATACTGTAAAGTGAATTGACTGTATATTTGTGGGCGAACGCGGCAGCCAATTGCGCACAGCAATGTCCCACAAGCAGTCGTAGATTGAAAATGACCAATTTATTATTGTTTTTGGTTTTGGAGGGATTATTATTAGGCTCTGTGTGGAGTCAGGAAACTTGCCCGAGGTTTCGCCCTCTGCCTGGAATTGAACCCAGGTCTCTCACTTGCAAAGCGAGTGCTCTAACCACTGAGCTACAGGACTCCACACAATGACCAAAGGACTCACACAAAGTGCAGATGGTAGTTTGGTTGATGCTGTAGCTGGAAGTCATGTTATAACCTGAGAACAGCACAATTGGCCTCAGTCCCAAGTAGAGTCATGGTTTGGTATGAACCACTGAACCAACAGATCTGTCAATATGATTGATCTTTCTATTGTGCTTTAGATTATGCTGATGGTATCAACAGCAGGTGAATACACATATAATACATTATTAAAAAGATATTGTAGAATATTACAGTACTCCATTTTCCTACAAAATACAGTGTCACTTCACTTAAAGAGTAAATCCCATGTATCATTCGAGGTGTTTCAATTACGTGATCAGGAGCTTTATAAAACACAAGGAATATTATTATTACTGAGCTCACATGAACAGACCATCCACAGCTTTACTTAAAATGGTCCCAGAACAGCTATTATGATCGGTCACTATTGGTCAAAACATAGATTTGACAAGACGTGTCTGTCTGTTTTATTTAACTTTGGAACGTCAATCATCTTTTCAATCCTACACATTCCAACATCTCTGTGCTACCAAATATCCGTAGACTGCAAACTTCAAGAGAATAAAAGAGAATCATAACAGCAAATATTAACTAACCAGAACTGAATTCACGAAGCGGTGAAATATTCTAAACAGATGATATACCAATTAGATAACTTCATCTTGGATTCTCATTATGAACCCGGGGTGGATGGGGGGGTGGGGGGAGAAGATGTATATGGATTTCACAACTAGGTTTACTGTCATGCCAAGAATTTTATAAAGAAATGGTTTCACGAGTCACCTTTGGCTTCGATTTCAAAAACCGACAATCTTGAAGTCAAAAGATTCCAGCAAAACGATAGAAAGAGTCAGATCAAAGGAGTACCAAACGGAGGCCCGTATCGTTGCAATTACACGACAGAAACCTCACATCTGGTCAAAGAAACTTACAAGCCTCTCAACTTTGGGTAACATATTTGGTAACTTAAGCAAAGAATAGCCCAAAGTACAATAATCCGAGATGGATAACGGACAGTTACACAAAAGGGACGAATTCTCAGGTTACGAAAGTCTCTCCACTTTCAATTTGAATGACTTGTCAAGCTTTGACACATCTCGTTTTTTTTCGCCAGCCACATTTTGCTAAACCTACTTGTTATTTCCACTTGAAATGCGTGCTGTACAAAACAAGGGAAGTCACAAAATCTACACTCATGGAAAATGAATAAATCAGTGCAGTTGAAAGAGGCCCAGATTTGAGTGCAACCAAAAAAAGAAAAAAAATCTACAATTGTAGGTGATACAAAGAAATGCCAGATGCTATTTAATTTTAATCAGTTATGAGCTTGGATTTTCTCAAATGGAATTATTTAATTAACATTAAAACTGAATCATTAAGGCAAACATAAATAAACTAAAAGGAGGGGGGGGGAAAACAGACTCCATTAATGCATACACAGACAAAGGGAACATTTAATCAAGGTTTGGGAATTTACATTTCGATGCTTGTATGTGTCAATCTTACGTTTTAATCATATTACTTTCTTTCCCTCGTATTAATTGTAATGTTCCCACACACACATTAACTTGCTTGATTGGGAAAAAAAGGACAGTTCGCCCTGCGGTTATCTCCAGAGAAGAGGTAAATATTGGAGTAGTATTTATAATGAGAAGCCGTATTTATTTTGTGACTATTCTACACAAACATGTAGCCAATGATGGTCAGCGCCCGTGGTCAAGTACACCCCTGGCGTTTGTCTACTGGGCTAAAACCATACAGAAAACAAATTTAAGACTCTCAATGGCAATGTGGCTTTAGCGACCTGAGGTCCAGAATTACCTGATGCACAATCTGGTGTCTGGAATGCTTGACTTTCATCAACCTGCGCTTAATGTTGTTAAGCAGAGAATATGTGCATTCCATTACAGGAACAGCAACGTTTCCATAAGTGGGTGGCAGACATTATGTGAAACTCTGTCTGGATACTTTTAAGCACAACAAAGAGTTACAGTTACTCATGCGTCTGACCAAAAAAAAAACAAATCATACTGTGACCCAAAAGGCCTAACATTTTAATCCATGATATTTGCTGAGTTTTTCAATCTGGTCGAAAAACAGAAGTTTGTTTAGGAGAATTAAAAACATCTTGGCAGAACAGATTTTTTTGAGAGGAAAGCAATTGAAGGTTTGGTTTTTCCCTCCCCCTCTCCCCGCGCCCCCCCCCCCCCTCCAACCCCGTCCTCCAACATGTCTTGTTGAGAATTGTGCTTCCAAACACGTTAGGGCCAGAGTCACTCTCCAGTGATTAATGCAGCTGTACAGTTCAGATGACTAATTCTACATCAATGTGCTAACTGCAGCTCCTTCTGGAAAGCTTCAGTTGCACTCACTGTTCTGGCCCAAACATTTCCTAATTGCTTATAAATATAAGCAGGAAAATTCTAGACTAAGTTCTATCAGATTACAGGTACGCAAAGAAAGACAAAATGCAGACAAAGGGTAGGACTGCAGCACTCGTACGGAAGGTTGAAGTAAAGCTGTTTGGTTTTTAATTGTGGGTTGATCTGGTAAATACGTCGCCAGCAACAACTTGCATTTATACAGCGGTGCTTCGGCACGATCAAAAAGGTCTTCAAGGGGAATTTGAAAGTCGGGGGTAGAGTGCCTAGAAGCGTAGCTTTAAGGGAAGACGTTTGAAATAGGAATCCTTATTTCAAATACAACTTTTGCTTTCCAAAGACCAACATAATACAGCAACAAAAGTAACACAATTATAATTTTTTGCTATTTAAAACAAATTCCACCTGGCAATACCTATAACCTTTGATTGTGTGTGTCTGGGTATCGGCCATTATGTGCGTGTGGGTATCAGTCACCGTGTGTGGGTATCATCCCACAATCCCTCCACCTCGTTCCCTCGCTTGCCTCCTTCAAGGCGCATCTCAAGACCCTCCTCTTCGACCGTGCCTTCAGCCACCCTGCTACCCTCCCTCCTCCCTTACCCCAATCCCACCCCCACCCGCCCAGGTCCAAATCCCTGACTGTCCAGCGACTTGGGACATCCTCCCGACATGAAAGGCGCTATACAAATGTAATTTTGTATTGGATTGGATTAGGTCACTGGGTATGTGTGGGTAGACGTGCTCCGCACTGTTAAGCACTCTGAGATGCTACCCTGCTTGGATGGTGCTATATAAGTGCAAGTTGTTGTTATTGTTGTGATACTCTACCTGAACCTCCGAAAATCACTTTGTTTTCCTCATACTGAATTGACAGTAAAAGTCTGAAATTTGCATACATTTCTCTTCCCGAAAGATGTCAGTCAGTACAACGATCTGACTATGCAATTAGATTTAATGTTCCGAGTCTGCTCGACTGGTACTGAGACTAAGCAAATCGGACAGATCGACTCTGGTTGGGTTTTGCTGATCGGATATGTTGAAATTCATGCAGGGATCTCTTAAAAAAGAAAATCAGTTTTGTTTCAAACTGTTTACAATACAACAACAACAAAATTACATTTGTAAAGTGCCTTTCACGTCGGGAGGACATCCCAAGGCGCTGGACAGACAGAGTTACTGTCTTACCCCCGAGACCCCCGAGCTGGGGGTAGGGGTGGGGGAGGGTGGAGGGCAGGAGGGGGGAAGCAGGGAGCAGAAAGTACGGTCGAAGAGGAGGGTCTTGAGATGGGTCTTGACGGTAGCGAGGGAGTGTCTTTATATAATACAAATACTGTACTGTGAATTTACATCACATCACGTCTAACACTTCTGCTGTGAACCTCTGCAATCAAACCCACACATAATCACGACTGCCTTTAAAATCCCTTATCTAAGAAACTGCTCACCAACAAACACCAGTTGCTTTTACTGAAGCACCTCTGTAACTACTGTCTGTTACTCTCTCTCCTCCCCCGCCCCCCCGAGCACACATGCACACATGCACACACGCACACACACATACTTAAACCTGTAATTAAAGGCAGCTTGTGTGGTTAAAAGCTATTTAAATTAAGGGAAAAACTCTCCAACTCTGCCAACAAGTCCAAGAAAGGATGAGCTGCGTGGCTGGGGACGAACATGTCTCCAGCAAGTCTGAACACACAACAACAACAACAACCACCACCACCACCACCACCACCACAACAACAACAAATTACATTTGTATAGCACCTTCCACATCAGGAGGACGTCCCAAGGCGCTGGACTGTCAGGGATCTGCACCTATTACTGAGAGGCACACCTATTACTGAAGGACACACACCTATTATTTAAGGACACACCTATTACTGAAGGACACACATCTATTGCTGAAGGACACACTTATTACTGAGACTCACAGCTATTGCTGAAGGACACACTTATTACTGAGACTCACAGCTATTACTTAAGGACACACGTATTACTGAGGTTCACAGCTATTACTTAAGGACACACGTATTACTGAGGCTCACAGCTATTACTTAAGGACACACTTATTA